GCTGCTGATTGGAGGTCTCCATGGCTCCGCTCTGTATAATACACTTGCATTCTGTTGTTCGTGTTGTTCGTGCTGTCTCTACCATCGACAATAAAACATGTCTTCTGTCTGGATTAAAGACATGATCCCAGACTTTGTCATCTTCTTCATTGCTCATCTGAAGGTCGGAGCAAACGTTTCCATGGGCGCCGTGGCAGATGCTGAGAGGAGCGTCCTGGTTTATGTCTGTGTAAAACCATTTTTGCATCTAGTTTCTTCAAGGTCCATGACTGCTCCAGGTTTTCCAGGAGTGGATTCAAACTTTATATTGTATTGACTTTTTCCCATTTTCAAATATTGACAGAAATCTGTGAAGGAGAAGAGTTATCAGCTTCTATCGCTGTGTTACTGGTTAAATATGGACTTCATTTCTTAGACATGTGTGTGTGCATGTGCCTGACTCTGTGCGTGTGTATGTGTGTGTATGACAAATAATAATAAATATAATATGGACTTAATTTCAATGTATCATAGCTTTTAATGTCATAAAACCTGTTTTTATTGATTCAGAATTCTAACTTTTTCTTATAAATATTCATATTTAGATAAACTAAGCAAAGCAATGCAACTTTATTATGGTAAAGCTAGAGATTGTGTGCTGCTCATTGATACTGTTCTGTAACTGGTGGTGCAACCCTGAAATTTCTCCACTGTGGAATGAACGGAGGGTCTTAATGCTCTGAGCTTTACCATCAAGCAACATTGGAAACCGTAAAATACAGCCATAAAGATAGACCCATCAGAAATATGAGTTCATTTAAAAATCTTGTATTACACGAATTAGAGCGTTTTTGCACAATCTCGTCACATTCAGGCTCTTTTGTTCTTTATTTTCATTTTAACAAAACAAAACACAGAGAAATCATCATGAGTCAACATCACATCCTCCATTTTAAAACATACATACGGCTAATGAGGTAGAAATGGTTCTTCAGGAAACACAAAGTATCAGCTTTTTGTGTGGACACGTTACTTCTGTCATAGGAACAACATCAGACAATAATTCAGGAGCGAGACCAGAGAGAGACCGGAGAGAGACCAGAGAGAGACCAGAGAGAGACCGGAGAGAGACCAGAGAGAGACCAGAGAGAGACCAGAGAGAGACCAGAGAGAGACCGGAGAGAGACCAGAGAGAGACCAGAGAGAGACCAGAGAGAGACCAGAGAGAGAGACCAGAGAGAGACCAGAGAGAGACCGGAGAGAGAGACCAGAAAGAGACCGGAGAGAGACCAGAGAGAGACCGGAGAGAGAACAGAGAGAGAGAGACCAGAGAGAGAGACCAGAGAGAGACCAGAGAGAGACCAGAGAGAACAGAGAGAGACCAGAGAGAGACCAGAGAGAGAGACCAGAGAGAGACCAGAGAGAGACCAGAGAGAACAGAGAGAGACCAGAGAGAGACCAGAGAGAAACCAGAGAGAGACCAGAGAGAGACCAGAGAGAGACCAGAGAGAGGGAGACCAGAGAGAGACAAGAGACACAAGAGAGAGAGAACTCATTCATGTCAGTGGAGGGTTAAAAAAAATCACAAGCAAAAATGTCACGTTTTGCTTTGTTGCACAGACACCCCGCTCCCATCTCTGTGTGGAGTGAGAGGACAAGTGCCCAAAAAATAACAATTGTAAACCGCTTTGTGACTCTGGTCTGTGAAAGGCAGTATATAAATAAAGCTTACTTACTTAAGCTTACTTACATCGGTTAAAGGTTTACATTCTCTCTGTGACAATGACAATAACTTTTGAATCTGTCAATGACCACATGTAGAAGTGACCGTCTTAAATCTGTTCAATTCATTCTTGTATAGACCTAAAACACAACGGTAGTTATCTATATAGAACTTTACAAAACCGTTGAATTCGCCAACACAGATCAGAGAACACAAGAAACGAAACGATAAAAAACACACAGCGACATTGGTCCATAAGGAGCAGAGACCAATGTCCATAAATGTCAATAAATGTCAATAAATGTCCAGAAATTTTGTTGATTGTCAGGTTTTCTAGATTTCTTCGCACACTGGGACCCAATCTTGAACTGGAAATCTCTCAATCTTCCACTCCATCTCATCCCAGAACTTGCCAATGAAGCGTCAAAAGCTGCTTGTGTGTTGGGAGATCTCTTCAGTCCAAGAAACATTACTTCACTTCCACGTCGTGGTTTCTTCTTCTTGTTTGTTTTTACTCTTTCTCTGGCTCCAGACATCCCCCGACCATCACCAACACTGCCACCAACTCAACTCCAGACTGAGACAAGCTAATCCATGACTTGTAGAGTACACATTGCAAAAACAAGACAATGGTAAGGTTCCAAATGAGCACCGACGGATCCAAAAGCCTTGTCCATTTGAAAAGACAATCGGTGTGGGAGACATAGTATCAACGGTAGCAACAGTCAACTTTCTTGGCTTCTGGATCTTTTGGGGGCTATGCACACAGAGACCTGACTTTAGCCAGCATTATCAAGCAGGAAAGGATGAGAATTAAGACGAGATGGAGTAGGAAGAAAGGGTTCTCAAAAAACCAGTCAAGTAGTTCTTCGGAGAACATCCCACAGAGCACATCTCCATCATCAACACAGTTTGGAAAGGTTTTGTTGGCCCGATGTCTCTCCTGCAGGAGCAACATGACTCCGGTTATGAAACCACTTGGTGAAACTGGCATCTTGGAGTATTTGGCTTGGCTTGGCTGGGAGATCCCTTCTCTTCAAGCAGCTTCCAAGTTGTGGTTTCTTCCTGCTGTTTGCTCTCAACACATTCCAAACGCTCCCCTCCACCACCAAAAAACGACCAATCACAGAGCAGCATCGGATGAGTGTTTGTGAGTATTTCAACCCCCCACCCCTGAGAGGGAGGGGGGGGGGGACCTGAAGACCAGACTCAAAAAATAGGTTGTTTTGTTGTTGGGCTGAAGATCCCAAAGGGTGTGTGTAGAATTCAGCCTGAGGGATAAATAATGGTCTATAAGGACAGTGGTTATGATCCAGGACTCTCAGCTTTAACAACATTTATGGACATTGTGTTTTTTATCATTGCATTTCTTGTCTTTGAACGGTTGGATTCTCTGAGCTGTGTTGGTGAATTCAATGTTTTTGCAAAGTCATCCAAAATAACGACTGTTGGGATTTAGGGCAAAATTTAATTGAATTGAATTAACCTGGAGTCTATATATTATTATCAATTCTTTTTAATATTCCACCTGAGACACAATTTATAAAAAGTGTGGATAACCAACCTCACAGAGACGGGATCTTTACGCACCAAGGCCACATGGAAGTTTATTCTCAGTTTCCTTCAATTTTTCTCAGGTTTTTTCAGACAGAACAAGGTCAGGATATGGTTTATATTGTCAACATTATATCACACAGGCGTCACGCATTGAAAGACATACGTATCATATCTAGAGACATCGAAAGAACCTAACTCGGACCACAATCGTAGCAGATACACAATCGGGGGGTCGTTGTGTATAGCGATCTAATCCCCATAAAAGAACATATATTTTCTCTTTTGTTTTTAAATATTTGCACATTTCCTGTCTTATTGCACACACCGAGTGATCAAATTGATGCCAAATGTAAAATTTCTGAATTGTGAGATCAATAAAGTCTTATCTTTTATCTTATATTTTTAATATTATTATTTTATTATTGTTACAGATGTATGCATGGTTATGTATATACAGTATGTGTGTGTATGTGTGTGTATATGCAGATGTGTAGAAGAAGATATACTTTATTCATCTCACAATGGAGAAATTCACTTCGATGAATAGTCATAAACACACACCACATCAAGGCATGCAGTATATATATGTATATGAATATAATTGTTTTATATTTCTATTTTTTTTTATCTTAATTTCTTTCTTTGTTTCCCATGTCCTTTCTGTGCCTGTAGAGCACCCTGATGCTTCTGTATGAACAGTGCTTTGTAAATACATTTTCCTTGTTTTTCTGTAAGTTGATAGACATTGGGTAACATTTTGTGGAGCCAACAGTCAAAATAAAAACACAACCAATTTGCAGCTCTTTTTAAGCTCCGGAAAAGTCCGTTTTTCCTGTTTGTCAGAGGTCGTGGGTTCAAAGGTTCACTTTTGCTAACAATTTTGTATCGCCCTAAATCACAACAGTCGTTATCTCGGATGACTTTACAAAACCATTGAATTCCCCGACACAGCTCAGAGAATCAAACAGTACAAACACAAGAAATGCAACGAAAAAAACACAATGTCCATAAATGTTAATGCAATGGTTTCGTTTTATATAGCGCTTTTTTGGACACTCAAAGACGCTTCATGTCATTATTCATTCACTCCATACACGGTGGTGATCAACTACTACAGTAGCCACAGCTGCCCTGGGGCACACTGACAGAAGCGAGGCAACCAGTATGTGCCATCGGCCCCTCTGACCACCACCAACCATTCATACACACACCAGACTCATTCTAGGCAATGGGGGTGAAGTGTCTTGCCTACGGACACAATGGCAGTTTGGCACTTTACAGCCGCAGCCGCCCCACTGTGGCTGGTGTTCCCAGAGGTTAAGTGTCTTGCCGAAGGACACAACGTCAGCAGACATCAATGGTGAATGGTGGTTTTTGTTGTTAAATGTTGTTAAAGCTGAGAGTCCTGTCACCACTGTCCTTATAGACCCTTATTTATCCCTCAGGCTGAATTCTACACACACCCTTTGGGATCTTCAGCCCAACAACAAAACCCCTCTCCTCCCTCTCCTCCCTCTCCTCCCTCTCCTCCCTCTCAGGGGTGGGGGGTTGAGATACTGACAAACGCTCATCCGATACTGCTCTGTGATTGGTCGTTTTTTGGTGGTGGAGGGGAGCGTTTGGAATGTGTTGAGAGCAAACAGCAGGAAGAAACCACAACTTGGACGCTGCTTGAAGAGAAAGGATCTCCCAGCCAAGCCAAGCCAAATATTCCAAGATGCCCTTTTTACCAAGTGGTTATATGACCGGAGTCGTGTTGCTCCTGCAGGAGAGAGATCGGGCCAACCAAACGTCTCCAGACTGCGTTGATGATGGAGACGTGTCCTGTGGGATGGTCTCCGAGAACCTCTTTGAGTGGTTTTTCGGAAACCCTCTCATCAAACTCTATCTCATCTTAATTTTCATCCTTTTAGGCTTGATGATGCTGGGTAAAGTCTGCTCTCTGTGTTGTGCTAAGCCTCCAAAAGATCCAGAAGCCAAGAAAGTTGACTGTTGACTTCCCCTTGATACTATGTCTCCCACACCGACTGTCTTTTTTTGTGGATCCGTCGGTGCTCATTTGGAACCTTACCATTTTCTTGTTTTTGCAATGTGTACTCTACAAGTCATGGATTAGCTTGTCTCAGTCTGGAGTTGAGTTGGTGGCAGTGTTGGTGATGGTCGGGGGATGTCTGGAGCCAGAGAAAGAGTAAAAACAAACAAGGAGAAGAAACCACGACTTGGAAGTGAAGTGATGTTTCTTGGACTGAAGAGATCTCCCAACACACAAGCAGCTTTTGACGCTTCATTGGCAAGTTCTGGGATGAGATGGAGTGGAAGATCGAGAGAGTTCCAGTTCAAGATTGGGTCCCAGTGTGCGAAGAAATCTAGAAAACCTGACAATCAACAACATTTCTGGACATTTCTGGACATTTATGGACATTGGTCTCTGTGTGTTTTTTATCGTTTCGTTTCTTGTGTTCTCTGATCTGTGTTGGCGAATTCAACGGTTTTGTAAAGTCCTATATAGATCACTACCGTCGTGTTTTAGGTCTATACAAGAATGAATTGAACAGATTTAAGACAGTCACTTCTACATGTGGTCATTGACAGATTCAAAATTGTAGTTATTGTCATTGTCTCAGAGAGAATCCGAGGTTCAGAGCATCAACAACACAACACTGGACAGTTTGATGTAAAGTGCCAAAAATAACAATGTAAACCTTTAACCAATGTCTGTGCAACAAGGCAACAAGGCAACAAGTTTTTGCTTGTGATTTTTTTTTACCCTCCACTGACATGAATGAGGTCTTTGCTCATGTAAAGAATGGACTGGTTTTCACTTGTAACACGAGAGTTTTATTTATGCCTTGGATTTGCAGATCTCTCACTCTCTCTCTGGTCTCTCTCTGGTCTCTCTCCGGTAAGTAAGTAAGTAAGTAAGCTTTATTTATATACCGCCTTTCACAGACCAGAGTCACAAAGCGGTTTACATTTGTTATTTTTTGGGCATTTGTCTCTCACTCCACACAGAGATGGGAGCGGGGTCGCCGAACAGGAGGCGCATGCCAGACCTATTGTACATATTTTTAGTGGTAGGGGAAACCGGAGTACCCGGAGGAAACCTATGCAGACACGGGGAGAACATGCAAACTCCACTCAGAAAGGCCCTGGTCCGGCCAGGATTCGAACCCAGGAGCTTCTTGCTGAGAGGCGAGAGTGCTATCCACTCAGCCACCGTGCCGCCGGTCTCTCTCTGGTTTCTCTCTGGTCTCTCTCCGGTCTCTGTCTGGTCTCTCTTTGGTCTCTCTCTCTGGTCTCTCTCTGGTCTCTCTCTGGTTTCTCTCTGGTCTCTCTCTGGTCTCTCTCTGGTTTCTCTCTAGTCTCTCTCTTGTCTCTCTCTGGTCTCTCTCCGGTCTCTCTCTGGTCTCTCTCTGGTCTCTCTCCGGTCTCTCTCTGGTCTCTCTCTGTTCTCTCTGGTCTCTCTCTGGTCTCCCTCTCTCTGGTCTCTCTCCGGTCTCTCTCTGGTCTCTCTCTGGTCTCTCTCCGGTCTCTTTCTGGACTCTCTCTCCGGTCTCTCTCTGGTCTCTCTCTGGTCTCTCTCTGGTCTCTCTCCGGTCTCTCTCTCTGGTCTCTCTCCGGTCTCTCTCTGGTCTCTCTCTGGTCTCTCTCTGGTCTCTCTCTGGTCTCTTTCTGGTCTCTCTCTCTCGGTCTCTCTCTGGTCTCTCTCTGGTCTCTCTCTGGTCTCTCTCTGGTCTCTCTCTGGTCTCTCTCTGGTCTCTCTCTGGTCTCTTTCTGGTCTCTCTCTCAGGTCTCTCTCTGGTCTCTCTCTGGTCTCTCTCTGGTCTCTTTCTGGTCTCTCTCTCCGGTCTCTCTCTGGTCTCTCTCCGGTCTCTCTCTGGTCTCTCTCTGGTCTCTCTCTGGTCTCTCTCCTGAATTATTGTCTGATGTTGTTCCTATGACAGAAGTAACGTGTCCACACAAAAAGCTGATACTTTGTGTTTCCTGAAGAACCATTTCTACCTCATTACTAGCCGTATGTATGTTTTAAAATGGAGGATGTGATGTTGACTCATGATGATTTCTCTGTGTTTTGTTTTGTTAAAATGAAAATAAAGAACAAAAGAGCTTGAATGTGACGAGATTGTGCAAAAACGCTCTAATTCTAGTTATGAAAGGTTTTTAAATTAACTCATATTTCTGCAGGGTCCATTTTTACGGTTTCCATTGTTGCTTGATGGTAAAGTTCAGAGCATTAAGAATGAAGAGACCCTCCATTCATTCCACAGTGGGGAAATTTCAGGGTTGCACCACCAGTTACAGAACAGTGTCAATGAGCAGCACACAGCACAAGATAAATGAACAATAACTATACAAATTTAAATAAAATCTCTAACTCTAGCGTCAAAGAAATCAAACCTCTACATTTGGGATGTAACTGATTATTGATTGAATACTTTTTTGTGAGCCTTACAAAATTATACATGGGCAACAAAACAAAGAGGTACAGGGAGGATCTGTACAACATATGTGGAAAAAAATAAAATAAAGAATTTGGCAGAGCAGAGCGATCGGAGCCGGAGGATATAAGTGTGTGTGTGTTTGTGTGTGTGTTCTGGCGATTAAATAAAGTCTGATTCTTGAATGTCTGAAGTGTTATTGCATAATGTGGTCAAAGGAAGAATCTGGCCTTCACATAATATTCAAGAGATCTTTAAAGTCATGCCTCTGTTGTTTGGACACACTAACACCTGTGGATTAGCGTCTGTGTTGTGACGGTAAAAGGCTTTGCTCTGTTTTCATTCTGTCTGAAAAAACTAAAGGCTCACTGCTTAAGATCCCCTCTACAGTCTCTGTCATTTTCAAAATAAATCAAATCAATCAAACTGTGAGAATAATGTGCTTTTCATACAAATAATGCATCACAAAATGCCCATTGATCCGTTAACCAGACTCTAAACATTGTGAAGTGGCACAGTCCTGGGTTCGATTCCAACTCCAGACCTTTCTTTGTGGAGTTGCATGTTCTCCCCGTGTCTGCGTGGGTTTCCTCTGGGGGCTCCGGTTTCCCCTAACACTAAAAACATGTACAATAGGTCTGGTATGTGCCTCCTGTAGGTGAGTGCCCACAACAATTGTAGAGCGGTTTGTGACACTAGTTTGTGAAAGGCGCTGTATAAATAATGGTTACGCACTTACTCACGGTGGCTGGTCCTGGTCGGAACAAGGCTTTTCTGAGTGGAATTTGCGTGTTCTCCCTGTGTCTGCGTAGTTACTGCCAAATGAACCAAAGAGGACTCTGAGGAGCACAGGGACTGGTGTTGTTTCAAGTCAAAGTGCTTCAACAGCTGCATTTAACAACAAGATAACTGAAGAATCTTCGCCTTTAAGAGAACCCAAATGTTTTTTTTTTTGTTTTTTTTTACCTCAAAACATAATGTGAGAAAGTTACTCTATTCTACCAGACTTTAAAGTAGTAACAGTAAGGGAAAAGAGTTATGGGATTCACTGATGGTCAATTATCTTGAAATATTAGATCCTGTTTGATGTGTGCATGACCTGAGTGCTTTTATTTCCTCTTTTATTCTGCTGTAATGTCCCCACTGTGGTAAGAATACAGGTTTATCTTATTGGATCTTTTTCTGACGTGTGGTTTGGGGCTGTGTAAAAGAGGTCTTCACTGTGTGCATGAGCCTGCAACTGTAGTAAACCTCATAAAAAGACAAAATACCTGCTGCATGATCCAGGAAAACACAGATTGAGCATGACCCATCCAAATCAAGTGAAAAGTCCACTCGTTTCCGTTGTGGCAAACAAAAGTTTATCTGATTTGATCTTTCTCTGACGTATGGTTTGTTTGTATCTTTTCCATCCTGACTCCAGGGGAAACACATGTCCAAGCTGCAGACATGAAGAACCACGAATATCACACTTTTTAATTCACATCCGACACTTTTCTTTGGTCAGAGTTCAGCAGAAGACTGTTGGCTTTGCTTCAAACACTGATGAGTTTGATGCATGGGTCTACCTTCTTTGAGCGCCGCCTACTGTCAGCCCCACGTAACTGCATACGCACAAATCACAGTTCAAAGTGAGGTCTATTTTAACGCCTGGTCAGAAAACAACAAAAACATGTTAAACTTAGAGCTGATTATGGGATAAAAACATACAGCTCTTTTAAACGTCTGAATCATCCAACCATATGCATAAAAGACAGAGTAAAAAAAACACTGATAAAAGTGAGGATTCTGTATGAGACTTATGACCTGCAAAGAGACAGAGCCTTCGTCATCATCTTGGTTTGTGGGCGCTAATCAACAATTCTTTTTGATAAATTGAATAGTTGTGTAGATCACCAATGTTCAGAAAATATCACTCCTCAGAGTGTTAGTCAAGCTGCATAGGGAGTCAGTTTGCTGGGAGAAGTATGGTAACTTGAGCACTATCCTCTCCTCCTTCCTACTTTATCTGTTTAGCATTTTTAGGATTCTGACTGTAGTTTGTTCATTGCTATTCACCCGTTGTCCCATTGTCTGTTTCATGGTACGATGACGGGATCTCTGAGCCTGGCCTCTTCCATCTACACCTGCGGACTGCCCCGCCCGACCCGCCTGGGAGTGCTTCGGTCCTGCACCGGACCTGTCCACGTTCAGCGTCCACTGGTCCACGTTCTGTAGCTAGCTTAGGTCCTAGATCATTAGTCTGTCCGTCCGGAGGAGCGGATCCCTTTCTCATATGGGTCTCCCTCCCTGTGGGTATTCCCTAGTTCTCCTCCAAGGTTTCTCACTTTTTCCCACTGGGTTTTTTAAGAGTTTTTCCTTGTCGATGCAGGAGGGTCTTGTTGGACAGTTAGTGTCCAACAGAAAGGATTGGTGATGATCAGGACACTTTAGCATTCTACAACATGTATGGACATTTTCTTCTGTGTGTGCTTTATATTCTTCATGTGTTTTAACTGTTGATTCTCTGACCTGTGTTGGTGATTTCAATGGTTTTGTTAAGTCTCTGAGATGACTTCTGTTGTGACCTAGGGCTATACAAGAATAAATTGTATTGTATTGTATTGTATTGTCTGCATCTGAGGTGAAGGCTGTGGAGAAGACCATGACACCTTTCATACAGACTGGAAAAGTCCCTGGGAAGTCTCACTGCCTGGCCTGCATTAATGCCTCACCAGATGACCTTAGACATCGGACATGGAGTGGCATTAAATTCTATGTCAAAAATAGAATCACTGCAATTCGAAAAAAAAATCTAAAATAAAATTCCTTTAAAATAGTTGTTTGGTTTCTATTGACTGTTTTGTATTACTTAAAGTAGTCCCAGTAAAAAAAGATTATGTCTATGGGTCCCATTCTGAACGGCCCTGTCAAAGGGACCCACCAGGTAACAAAAACGTGTGTGTGTGTGTGTGTGTGTGTGTGCGTGCGACCTAGAGCCAAGGACCATTAGAATCATGTTCCCTATGTGTTTTGACTGGGAGACGCGCACACAATTAGAAATCCACCTTAAATTAGGCTCAGCCTCGCCTCATACGCCCGTCATACGCCCGTCATACGCCCGTCATACGCCGTCATACGCCGTCATTACGCCGTCATACGCCGTCATACGCCGTCATTACGCCGTCATTACGCCGTCATTACGCCGTCATTACGCCGTCATTACGCCGTCATTACGCCGTCATTACGCCGTCATTACGCCGTCATTACGCCGTCATTACGCCGTCATTACGCCGTCATTACGCCGTCATTACGTCCGTCATACGTCCGTCATACGCCCGTCATACGTCCGTCATACGTCCGTCATACGTCCGTCATACGTCCGTCATACGCCCGTCATACGTCCGTCATACGTCCGTCATACGTCCGTCATACGTCCGTCATACGCCCGTCATACGCCCGTCATACGTCCGTCATACGTCCGTCATACGTCCGTCATACGTCCGTCATACGTCCGTCATACGTGCGTATAACACTAGTAGTGTAAATATCACCTTTGGTTAACATGAAAAAAATGTACACAACGCATACGTGCTGTAGTGCCTCCTGTGTAAATTGGCAGTAAGCCTAAACCTATAGCCCTAACCCTGGTCCTAACCCGATCCTAATTAATTGCTTAATAAATACAAATTGAGAACTAATTAACCATCAATTATATAATAATTAGCACTCAATTAGCTGTTTTTCAGTGATGGCTAAACTAGAGGGTAACTGTAGTTTTTGACATTCTTTCTTCATTATCTTGAACAAAATTAGTCAAAGATTTGAGCGGTTTGTCTAACACAAACTTGCATTTTTAGCTTTTTTTGGCCTCCAGTTTTTCCCTCCGTACTCACGTTGCCCTAACAAAAGCTGTACAAAGTATGGGCACTTCTGATTTATGGAGAATAACAGATGCCACCAGGACGATTTCAAGTCAAATCTGTGGAAAGGTGATAGTTGGTGTTTTGAATTAAGTTCCTCAAGATGTTTTATGTATTTCCGATGTTCTTTCTGTGCCTGGGTTGATTTTGCATGAAGGAGGGTTTATGCATGTTTACCTTGCTTTGCTTTGCCTAATTCAATGATATGGCCAAACAAGATCCAAACATGTGGCTCTGATATGTGGTCACAGCAATTTCCAACTCTGTGACTTTCTGTTACTTACGTGGCAATAAAAATGATTCTGATTCTGATTCTGATAATATTATATCTCACTAACTAAAGGAATAAGGATGGTTTTATTTCAAGCATAAAAGCTCCAGTGACTATAATTATTCTGTTGCTTAGACAATCCTCAAATTTAAGATCAGAGCGTCATATTGTTGTGCAAGTATTTTGATAAAATATGTTAAACAATTGGGGGCGACAGTAGCTCAGTTGGTAGAGCATTGGCCTTAAGGCCAGAAGGTTGTGGGTTCAATTCCCACCTCTGCACCTTCTCCATCGACTCCCACTGATGGCAGCTGTCGTTGTGTCCTTGGGCAAGACACTTAACCCCACTTTGCCCAAAAGCCCCCACTGAAAGATCAAGGCTATGCTCACAGTCAGAGAGCAGCCGTCCTCCTGTGGACTCACCACCTGCAGAGGGTCAGTGAGGGGCTGGTGCTATGAGACTTGGGTGGCATCTCTGACTGCCACCCCCCTGACCCAGAAATGGATTAAAGGGTAGAAAATGGATGGATGGATGGATGTTAAACAATAGTGTGTTAAACAGTGCACTTTCTTTCAGGTAGTTCACCTCTGAAACAGAACACGTTAAGATTGTAGAGAGAGACGTTGCAGCTTCTCATTGCGGACAACACTGCCATCTCGTGGACATAAAGGGTTTACCATCCAATAAAACCACATGTTGACGTTTTCGAAATATTTATTTTCCGCTAGTTGTGTATACATCTAGTTGTGTATACATCTTTTAACAAACACACATTTTTAAAAGTGTGTGTGTGTGTGTGTGTGTGTGTGTGTGTGTGTGTGTGTGTGTGTGTGTGTGTGTAGTATTGGATTTTGCAAATACAATAAATATAAATGTTTAACTTTCCACACCCTTTCTACACCATTAACCTATATATTCACCGGTTTTACCTATTTTATATATCAGCTCTACTATGTTCTACGGTTGCCCTGGGTGACCTGGAACCCCGCCCCTTCCGCAGAGCACTTCCGGCTGCAAACATGTCGCCCTCCTTGTTCAATTTTGTCGAAGCTAAAGACAAATTTGCGGTAATATTCACTCAGAATGCGGGTTTTATTCACTCCCTTCACACATAACAATAACACATTCCCCGAAGAAGTAAACGGTTGATTTATGTTGACGCAAAAGCCTTTAAATTGGCCATACTTTACTGTCATTAGCAGTTAGCATTAGCATAACCTTATTTATCTTTACAGGCGTCTGCGAAACAAGCTCTGAGTGCCAAAAGCTGCAAGGATCTCACGGATGCTTTCAATCAGATGAACGGGAAGTAAGCAATATGTTTATTTTTTATCCTTTGTTTATTTCAAAATGTGTGGAAAGAGTAACTTAGCGTGTTAAAGTAGCTAGCTAACGCCTTAACTCCAATCTATGCCTCCAAGACGTATTAAATATGAATAATAATCCTACCACCAACCACTGTGTAAGTAAGTAAGTAAGTTTTTATTTATATACCGCCTTTTCACTGCAGATCTGAGTCTCAAAGCGGTTTACAATTGTTAATTTTGGGCTCTTGTCTCTCACTCCACACAGAGATGGGAGCAGGGCCAGTACAGGAGGCGCATGCTAGAACTATTGGACATATTTTTAGTGGTAGGGGAAACCGGAGCACCCGGAGGAAACCTACGCAGACACGGGGAGAACATGCAAACTCCACTCAGAAAGGCCCTGGTCCGACCGGGATTCGAACCCAGGACCTTCTTGCTGAGAGGCGAGATTGCTATCCACTCAGCCACCGTGCCGCCCGCCACTGTGCTCTCACAAAATGTCTTGCCCTTCTTAAGCACTGTAGCATCTGATATTTGTAATGAGGTCTTGTAAGTTTATGTTGGTGACAGTAGCTTGGACTATGGACTGTTGTTATTGTAATAAGTTGTATTTGTATTTCCATTTGCCTTTTTTAGTGAAGCAGAAAAGAAGACGACCCTTGACCAAGCTCTCCGATGTGTCTTTGAGGATCAGATTGTAAGTGTTAAAAAAAAAAATCATTTCATACTTATTTCTGTCTGTTTTTTTCTTATGTGTTTTCTTCCATTTGCAGAATGAGTTGAAGACATCAGTGGATGAATACTTGGCTCTCATTGATCTCAGCATTGATGCGGTCACAGAGGGTAAGACTCTTGTTGTTAGTGACTTGTGATACAACAGTAAGGCACGGAATCACTACAACTTTGATACAAGTTCAACATACTTTACTAGAATCTGTGGCGTTTATAGCAGGCATGTCCAAACAGAGGCCTGCGAGACAATTGCGGCACTTCCCTGGGTCGCTGTAAAGGCAGGAAAATACTTGCGATTTGAACAAAACCAAAAATAGCACAATTTATGCACAAGCCAGTGCGCTTACTAACGCACAACCTTAGGCAAGTTTATTTGTATACCACAATTCATACACAAGGCAACTCCAAGTGCTGAACAACCAACCTTACTCCTGTGACACAGAAGATCTATATTTGAGGCTTGATTTGGAGTTGTTTGCTGATTTTAACAGTATTTTACCGTTTGTTTATTTACTGTACATTACATATTCCAATCATGAACCTAGTCTTAATCTTTTGACCCAGGCATCTGCTCGGCCACCACCCCCTTCATCCTGCTGGGCGATGTGCTGGACTGTCTGCCTCTGGACCTGTGCGACAAAATATTCACTTTTGTGGAGGAGAATGTGTCGACGTGGAAATCGGTAAATTCAGCACGAGGCTCAAGTCACTTTCTTTCTTTTGATACACGCATTATGTACCGAAAGCTGAGATATTTTTGTCTGCATATCGGTATAGAGCTGATGGGGTCATGCTCTTTGTCTGAAATATGTGCTCTTAAGTTGTACTAATGTAAAATATCCATGAAGGTTAGTAGTAATAGTTATATTCCGTTGTGATAAACTGGACAAATGTGAGTTTTATTGGGTAACACCGACCCTTTAAATGTTCCTTTCAAATTAGAAGATGAGTGATTGGGATCTTTGTGTGTTAATGTGTTTATTATCTTGATTGAACTGTATGTCGGGTCATTATAAAATTATGTTCGATCAATAAAGTTGGAAAAAAATAGGGTAACACAGTAAATATTATATTCTATTTAATTCAATGGAGCGGTAAAAGAACATCAAAAGATTACAGCTAAAGTTTTCCTCAGTTTGAACCCATTTTGTAACTTGATTTCTCTGTATTCATGTCTTTGTGTCTCTTTTCCAGAACACCTTTTACACCGCGGGAAAAAATTACTTACTACGAATGTGCAACGGTAATGATGGACGTTCTTTCATCTTTGAGCTGCAAATGTAGAAATCCTGAATGTTGAACCAAATACATAATGTTTGTGGTTTTAGATCTGTTGAGGCGACTTTCCAAATCCCAGAACACGGTTTTCTGTGGCCGCATCCAGCTGTTTTTGGCTCGTCTGTTTCCTCTGTCAGAAAAATCAGGTAAGTGATAGTTTGAGCTTATTCAATGTAATCAGTCATTTTGGGGCAAGTGGATAATGACTGGGTATTTTAATTGATGAATGTTGTAATCTGTTGTAATCACTATGTAAGAATAATGATTATTGTGTTTGTGCTTTAGGTCTGAATCTCCAGAGCCAGTTTAATCTGGAAAATATCACAGTTTTCAACAAAAATGAACAAGAAAGCACTCTGGGACAAAAGGTAAGAAACATTCTGTCTTTCTTTAAGACAAAAGGCATGTGCATATACAAATGTTATGATAGATTATTTTATGGCTATAACACCACACAACAAAACAAAGTTAGAAATCAACCACATTTTGTCAAAGATTTACCAATGGAACATATAATACATTTGCTATATCTGTGCTGGAAATAAGACTAAAGGTTTAAACTATAGCAACATTATATGGAGCCCATAGGAAGTCATGAACACAATAAAACAAACTTAAATGCACAGTTCAGTCCATATATCAAGCTACCGTCATGTTTTATTCTCTCTGACAGTAATCTGTTAAGGTTTTGGCCTCTGCAGAGAATAAAACAACTGGAGGCTGCATGAAAAGAGATTATAAACAACATTTATGTGCCTTTTTTCAGCACACGGAAGAGAAGGAGGAGGGGATGGACGTGGAAGAGGGAGAGATGGGAGAGGAGGAGGGCCCAGCGCCATGGTAACGGCCTTTCTCAAATTGCTTGTATATTGTATGTTTTTGGTCTTGTTCTGCTCCGTTGGACTCTACACTTTCCAACTCATGCACTTTTTATTAGTTTTGTATAGTGAGTAAAAAATACATTTGCATTTTACTTTATGATACATTTTACAAAATGTCTACATACTATGAAGTACAAAATTCATTAGTAGTAGTAGTCGCAGTATTAATAGTAGTAATAGTGGTGGTAGTAGTAGTAGCAGTAGAAATATAATGGATCAAAAGTATATGTATTCCTCACTCCCACCTCTAGAGGGCAGATAACCTCCTCTTCTCATGTTTATTCATACCTATCTACTGATTTATTATTTTCATATGATAAAACCAGCCACAATATTCTTCAGATGTACGTTAAAAAAATCAAAATGAGTCAAACTCTAGGAGCAGGAAGCACCTGTATTTTTGACATTCATTTGTGCGTTACTTTTGCAGCTCAATCCCAATCGACTACATGCTGTACAGAAAGTTCTGGACTCTGCAGGACTACTTCAGGAACCCTGTGCAGTGCTTCGATAAATTCTCCTGGATGACGTTCGTGAAGGTAAAACTAAAACCCTTTCTCAGCTTTGACCATGCACTCGATGTTTTTCCGTGTCACTTACACACAGTTGTTTTAGGTGTTGTTTATATTCAGTTATATTATGAAAAGACATTTAACATTATCAAATATGCAGCACTTATTACTCTCCGGCTGACACGGCTGATGTATGTCTCTTTATTGATAGAGCTACCCCTGGACACAACCCTAGCAGCTGTTGTTCTAGTTTATCCCTTCTGACCACTAGAGGGCGTAGCATAGCACTGAGTGACCGAGCGCCTTCATTGAATCTGTGTCTGTATTGCAGTATTCGGACGACACTCTGGCTGTTTTCAAGAGCTTTAAACTGGACGACATGCAGGCGTCCAAGAAGAAGCTGGAGGAGCTGAGGGCCTCCAGCAAAGAACACGTTTACTTCGCCAAATTTCTCACCAGTGAAAAGGTACGACTGCATTCATGCTGTGGTTCAGGCGCGGGACAGAAATGGAATTAGATTAAATCTGTGTGAGTGAACCTTAAAGGGTTAATTCTGTGTCCTAAAACCTGCTTTCTCATATTCTTCTAAATGTTTGGTGGTAGGGGAAAAAAATGGAGTTAAAAAATCACACATTTTAGCATTAAAGCTAACTATTTTAACGTATGATTTTCATTGTCATTGTGCACTTATAGATTGTTAGATTCAGATTCAGTTTATTTGGCATATGCAGTAAAAACACCACATTGGAATACATTAGCAAAAAGTCCCCAGTGTGCACAGACAAATACAGACATAAAACAACATTAAAAGACAAAAATAAAACAAATAAAACAGTAAACAAATGTCACTGTGAAATCGATCGACTAAAACAGTTTCAAAACAAGTGCAAATCATTAAAGTGCTCTGTTCACATTGAGCACTTTAATGTTTTATGTGTTATGTTTTTCTCATTCTTCTCTGTCTGATGAAGTATATTCTGTGTGTTTTCTTTTAGCTGATGGACCTGCAGCTCAGCGACAGTAACTTCAGGCGACACATCCTCCTGCAGTACCTCATCCTCTTCCAATACCTCAAAGGACAAGTCAAGTTCAAAAGGTGGGACTTTTTACCGGGATTTTTTTTAAATTTAAGGACGATAAAAATCCAAACAAACAGCCAAAAAACAACGAGAAACAAAGAAAACAAAGAAAAAAAATTAACAAAAACGGACTAAACAAAGGATTTTTCACACAAAACAAAACATTTCTAGTAATAATTTATTTCTTTGTCACAGCTCCAGTTGTGTTCTAAATGACGACCAGTCGACATGGATTGAAGAGACGACCAAATTGGTTTATCAGGTCAGTTTTGTTTGTGTATTGAGTATTTCATAGTTTATTTCTGTGTGGTTTGTAACCGTTTGTCATTGATTCTCGTGTGTCTTGCAGCTGCTGAAGGAGATTCCACCGGACGGAGATAAATTTGCCACAATGGTGGAGGTAAACGCTGCTTCTGTAACAAACATTTGAGCTTTTGGGTCGACATTTTTATTAATTTATGTCTGAAAAACCCAACAGCACATGCTCAACTCGGAGGACAACTGGAACTCGTGGAAGAATGAAGGCTGTCCGAGCTTCGTCAAAGAGAGGTGCGGCTGCGGACGGCACATTCAAAGCCTTAAAAACTGAAAATGTGGCAAAAAAAGCATTTCTTTTGTGGAACGAAATGTTGCTACTTAGGATCTAACTGACATAATTAATGTAGGAAGTAGAAAATCCTCCTATATAACTTTTTGAAGTCTATATTTATCTTGAAAATTACTGTCATTTCCAGACTATTAATATAAATATGTAAGCTGCAGGGTTCAAATAAATAAAAATAAAAGTATATAACAATGCAGCTATAATGTGTATTTTTATTGGCCAAACCCTGATCCTGGTTCCTTGTTTGGAGCAGGAACGTGGAGGAGAAACCCAAGAGAGCCGGCAGAAAGAGGGCGGCCCCAGAGGACTTCCTCGGCAAGGGCCCTGACCGCAAGATCTTCATGGGAAAGTGAGTTTTGAAGATCACAAATTTGGCACATTTTAGACTATTTTTGTATCCCTAAGTCACCAAAAACAAATGTGGACTTCTTTACCTTCTGCAGCCAAACAAATAACTTGTTTTGCCATAACACCCGGTACTTATTTCTTGTGTTCAGCGACGAGTTGACGCGTCTGTGGAACCTGAACCCCGACAACATGGAGGCCTGCAAATCCGAGTCCAGGTGGGTACTGCGACTCTTTGATCTAAATTTTGATTTCAACTCTTCACACCATAATTATAAACACGATTCTTCCAGAGAGTTCACGCCGTCGCTGGACGAGTTCTTCACGGAGGCCATCGAGCAGGCCGACCCCGTCAACATGGTGGAGGACGAGTACAAGTGCGATACTTTCACTCTGACTTTAGCCAACCACGTGTTTCATGTCGAATAGATTTTTTTAACACTATTTCTTTAGGGTTGTGCGTAATCCAAACTACGGCTGGCGAGCGCTGAGGCTGCTCTCCCGGAGAAGCCCGCACTTCTTCCAGCCGACCAATCAGAAGTACAAGAGCCTGGGAGACTATCTGGACAGTATGGTCAGCAAACTGGCCAAGGAGCTGCCGGTCAGTGACTCATGTCTGTGTCTGTGTCCACCAACTTCCACCAAAATCCATTCTGTCTGTCTGTTGGTTTATTTAAGTTAGAATTATGTAGGTGTCTTGAAACTCCTTGTTTATGTCACTAATGTTCTGTGTCATTATTGTTAATAGTTTTACTTAATTTATTTTTTTTTCCTATACGTTTAATTTCAGCAGAGGGGAGGAGTGGGGTGCGATGGAGCATTTGTTTTGTTATATTTTGTTGTTGTTTGTTTTGTTTGTCTTTTTGTGTGTTTAATTAACTTTTCTCATCTTTAATTCGTTGTAAATTGCTTTTTGTGTATGTGTGTTTGTTTATATGTTTGTATTTATGTTTAGGACCCCCTCGAAAATGAGATGATTCATCTCAAGGGGCTTTCCTTAATAAACTTAAACTTAAACTTCAGACTCTTTAGACACTTTTCTCTCACACTAGAACTGGATCCATTGGCGACACACATTTCAATTACATTTATTTTTGTTATCTCTGAGAAACACAGGAAATGCAATTATACCAAACACATTTTGACCAAAGTGCGTACATGTCCACAACTGTCCCGGATCGTCACTGTTCTTAGACCATCCCACATCGGCAAGGAACCACTAAAAAAAAGTAAAATATGAAATCAAAGACATTGAGAGAGGGATCCGCTCCCACTGATGGATGGGGCTATAGATAGTGGGCAGTATGACCAACGTCCATAAATGTCAGGATCTTCACATGCTCTGTGTTCTTCTTTTTTGTTAACGTACTGCTCGTCCTGTGTTACAGAAGGACATTCCCTCAGAGGAGATCAAGACCGGAGAAGAGGACGACGACGACAACGGAGACAATCTGCTCAAAGAAAGCAACGACAGTGAGTTCGGCACTAGTTTTTCTTCATTGTAATGACTCCATGGGTGTTATAGTCCATCTCTGTAGCTTTAACAGACACTTGAGCTCCTAGATAAAAAATAAAATCCATTCATAGCTGGAGTACAGTGGTCCTTTGCTATATCCATCGGTTCCCAAATTTTTGTGTGCAAATATACTCATATGTCGAAAGAGCAGGTATCGCATACCAAAAAATGTATTGAGGTGCAGCAAATGCGAGAATCAAAATGTCAAAAAACAGGGTCGCATTGCACACTCAGCTCTGATGTACTCCAATAACATGCACTAAACACTTTCTTTTTTACATCGTAAGAGCTGATTGGTTCTATGTCGGTCTTTTTCACTTTTTTGTCTGAAAAGGCTGAACCAAAGATGTGAAGGAATCAAAAAAAACCATGGGCTGAATCTTATAAAACTATTGCTAGAACCTTTTGGAAAGCAAGGACTTTAACATTTTCATGAGTTATTTTTTTGTGGTTTCAGTTAGGTACCCCAGCTTTAAACATTTTATAATACAACCATAATTCTCTTCCCCTCCCATCCCCAGGCCCCGGCGAGCAGGGCCTGCAGAACAAGCTGGTGTCCAACGCACAGATGGACGACATGGCGAGCAAACTGGGCGCACAGTGGAAGACTCTGGCCTCGCAGCTGGAGATGAAGGCGTCGGAGCTGCGCGAGATCGAGGCGGACAGCGAGGACGTGGAGATGCAGGCCAAACTGCTGCTGGTGGCCTGGCAGGACCGCGAGGGACCCCAGGCCACCGTGGAGAACCTGGTTGGCGCCCTGAACGCAGCCGGCTTCTCCCACGTGGCAGACGCACTCACAGAAGCGTAGTTTTTTTTGGTTTTTTTTAATACAGCAGCTCGTGTCTTTTGCTACCAAAACGGCATCTTGTATGTTTTGTATGTACTGTAGTTTCAATACAGTTTGCTAATTAGGGATGTACAATAAATGTGTTTTTTCTAATTCTGTTTTTTTAATGTGAATTTATATTAACCTTGAAAATCTCATACTCAAGTTATTTAAATCTATGTTGGTAGTTATACTTCTTGTACCTCACAGCAAGAGGGTTCTGGGTTTCATTCCACCTCCAGCCCTACCTGTGTGGAGTGCATGTTCTCCCTTTATCTACATAGGTTTCCTCCGTGTGCTCCGGTTTCCTCGACCACTAAACCTATGCACAATGGGAGTGAGGACAAATGCCCACAATTGTAAAGCGCTTTGTCTGTAGAAGACTATAGTTCCAAATGACTTGACAGGTTTAGCTTTTTACAAATTGAAGAAAATACAGGTTGACCTTTTTTAGGTAAAATAAGGAACCTAAGCTATCCGTACTTTCAATCTGTCTAAATGCAAAAGTAAGAAGAAGCTTTAAGTGTAAATTTGCAAATTAAGTCTAGCCCAACCTTAGCCATACATAAACTCTGGTCAATTATATCTACATGAAATGAGTAGGATAGTATGGTAAGACCAAGCTATCAGTCTAGATTTCAGCAGCAAAATGGTGGCTCCTTTCACATATCCACCTCATTCATACTCAAGAATCCCAGACCACACTTTGGGAACCCCAATTGATAACTTGAAGACTAAAATTCCTACAAAAAGACTTAAAATTCTTCTCTAGAGAAATAAAATACTGAAAACAACATTGACAAAATGTGAATAAGCTTTATTTCCTCCGCCGTGAACCATAAAGGCACCTTCTCTGACCCAGCCCTTCACACTGGTTTCTTCCGCTTCATCCGTTGCCGGGTCGCGGGGGCAGCAATCTAAGCAGACGGCCAGACAATGCATTTATGTTCAACCCAAACGTTAAGTGCTTTGGGGCAGGTCCGTGAGATTTTTTTGGGAAACTTTGAGAATATTCCGGTTTAACAATGTGATCGCCTCAAATCAAAAGGCTCCGACAATGTCCAACGTGTATAAAACATTTAATGAAATAGCAAAGATCGATCAATTAAAAACCTCCACTTTGCCAAAGCCCACAATGGTTTAATATTTAACAACATATGACAATTTTCTTTACAAGCATTTGTGTTGGTTACAAAAATCAAAATGAAAGTAATCCAAAATGTTTAAAGACACCGGTTTTATTGCACGTGTTGGGAGACAGTGCTTGGGGGGGATGGCCTCGCGGACGGTTATGGGTCCTGGGGGAGGATTTCCAGTCTGCGGGGGCCGTACAGTAAGACGTAAGCTATGTGCCAGTCGCCGCCGCCGGACAGCCGCAGGATATCCTCTGGGGACACCACGCTCACTTTGTCATCGTCGAACTTCACCCATTCATCTGAGAAGGCAAAATATGACAGGGTTAGAGGCCACAAGGTCACATACTGATGGATGCTGAAGCTGGATTATGAAAAAAATCTATTCCAGAGGATTAAAAGTACCAACATCATTAAAAGCTAGTAGTTAGGAAAACATCCACATTATTCTAAAATGTTAACACTTTTTTTTTTCTGAGATGACGACAGATTACTGCTATAACGTGCCTTGGTGGCCCATTACCATCAAGGCTGCAAGTTAATTGTAATTGCTGGGTTGGACTTCCCTCCCTTCCAGGGGCCTCTCTCAGACAATATCATACCCCAAGGAGAGATTGCATCCATCGAAAATCATTATGGGGACACTGAAGAGTTGGCCCTTGAGTCCGAGTTTGACATGTCTTTGTGGCTTTGGAAATAGTTTATAGCAAGGGTGTAAAACTCTTTGGTCGGGGGCCGAAACAATAGAAAAGATTTCCTTTTCTTATCATAGTTTTTAACCTTATGAGGATATTTTAACATGACTAATGTGACATAAGTTTCACTGTAATTTTCTGGTTTATTTTTCTGAAAACAAAGTGTTTATTGTTTAGATTTAACCAAAACTGGATCAAATACAAATGTAAAAACATTTTATATTGAACTATTTAACTTCTAATAGCGTGTTATTGGGTTAAAATGTTAGAATACATTACATTTGGTTGTTTTCCTGAGAAAATAGATGATGTATAACCTGCCTTGGTCACCCATTATCAATGCTGCTAGTTAATGATAATAAAACATAATTTTAGGGGCCATTAAAACTTTTCTTGCCCCCCCGGCCTCGACTTTGACACCCATGGTCTAGATCATGTCATGTTTGCTGGAGCCCCATAGTTACCCTCTTTCCTCTTGACCCAGCCCACGTAGTGTCCGGAGGAGCTGGAGCGGCCCTGGTGAGTGAGCACGGCCTGGAGGTCGTAGTATCCGCTGTTGTTGGAGCCCACGTCTGACAGAAACACAACAATTACAACGATTCAATATTCACTTCCACCTGGAACACGTCGCTTTTATTCCTCATTGTGCTTATTTTACCTTCAGGGAAAGAGAAAGGCTCATGTTTCACTTCTTTCTTGTCATCAGCTTTCTTCACCACCTGTCGACAGAAGAACCCGACGTTTGGAAATAATGAGATTGAGGATTTTAGTTGCCAAGTTACAAAGTCAAAAATAATAAACTTTTTAAAAATACATTGCATTTAAAGTCTATTTGACAGATGGATTAATCGAATAGTTAAAACAGCTTTTCTTTTCAATCTTTACTCTGTATTTTTTTCACTGTAATAGTTCCCTTTGCGTTATAATTGCTGCTTTATTATGTTTTTGAATGATGAAATTATGACCAATGGAGTTCTAAAAGGCAAAAACTAAAAACTAAAGTATAGCGAACAGCAGATTTTTCCATTGAGAGAAAAAACTAAATAATAATTGTGAGGTAAACTGAACATAAGAACGTGTAAAATGGCCCAGACTGACCTTCTGCTGCTGCTTCTCCAGCTTCTTGTCTTCCATGTCCTTAAACTTGGATCTGATGGGAAGCATTTTCTCCTGGAGCTCAGCGGTGCACAGCTCGTACACGTCCAGCATCAGAGGGAACTTAACATCCTGCAAAACAACCACTCATTAACACATACTTTAACGCCACAGAAAGGGCTTTTTTGGATGAAGATCTAGACACAGAAAGGTACTACTTTTAATGGATTCTTCCCATCTTTCTCTGAGACTACCATAGAAAACTAGCCTTGTGGTCAAAACTGCCACTTATACAGAAAAGTTCAATAACGTGCATTGTCTCTGTTCAAATAAACCTACTTTTTCAGTTCATTAAAAATGCCATTATAATTGTCAGTTTTGAACACAATTTCACTGAGTCATCCATCCAACTTCAGCTCAGCCAATATGTACATGTCGTTCTAAAGCCCAGTACGTCTGGAATTCAGTCGTTGACTTGTGAGCTGGTAGGATGGTAAACATTTGTCATTCAGCCAACTTCAGCCCAGTTATAGATCATTTTAAAACTCAGTCAAGACAGTTTTTCAGTCCATGATGTCGGCCCCTGGACTAGTCTGGTGAACTAAAGTGGCCCTCTTACTAAAATATTTGGACACCCCTGCTTTAAGATCCACAGGCACTTGTAAATTACTCGACCAATTATTGAAAATATAAATTCTTAGTTTAGTTACAGCTCAAAAGCACAGAAAGGACTGACCTTAAGAACTTTGGCATTCACAGACTCCTTCTCCTTGTAGAAAAAGCGAACCATCTGAACCGTCAAATAGGCCGGAAGTCTGCTAACTTTAGACTGATTACAAATATAGGGGGGGAAAAAAAGTGTTAAAAGTCATGAATTATTTTCTTTATGACATTTTTTTGTTTACAACTTACAGATTTTATGTACAGTGCGTTTCTTTCCAGGGTTGGAGACATTTTTGTGATTTCTTCTTGCAGCCTCTGAAGTGAAAACACGGGACAGGAAGTGACTTAAAAACACGCTTCGGTCTGATATATTGGTAAAATGGCAAACTTGGATCATGAAATAAGTACAATAAAACCACTAATTCCAAAAAAAAAACATTGAAAAGTACCAGCCGAAGTCCTGTTGCCAGATATTTGACTTCCTGGTTGATGAAGCAGCTGAGTTGGAGCTGGCTTTCTTTTCCTTTGATTGGCTCTTCTTCTTCAGATTCTGTACATTTCATACTGAGCAGCGGCTGAGTCAAAGTAAAACATTTCAGAAATTAATCTAAAACTTTACTGATGGAATTTATACTTCCAATTTATCAGCAGTTTTGGCCTTTTGTCAATTCTAATCAGTTTTAATGTAGTTTTGTCTGTATTGTAAACAGGGTAGTCTAGTTTAAGATCCTCATTAACCAGTGTTGTGCAGTGGTTATATTAAAAGAGTAAACATTTGTTCCACATGGCTTTTTTTAAACAAATATTATAAACGTGATGCTACCTTAGCAACACTCCCATCTAGTGGTAGAGGTGAGAAATTACATTGATATATTTGGATCTAAATCACTAGATTGAGTGTAAACCCTGTAGAATGAGGAAATTCCCCAAAATCTCTGGGATTAAGAAAGAAAATGATAATTCAGCCCAAGGATTTTTCATAGAATTCCCAGTTGTTTGAAATATGAGCCTTTGGAAAGTGTGTGGAGCTAAACACAATTGCAGGTGTTTTTGACGAGGGATCACTGGTGTAACAAGGTAAATAACCGTGCATAAATATATTTTCTAAATGCATGGGTCCTTGAGTTGCTTTGGTGGTTTTGAGCTACTTTTGTAGATAGTAACTTTCCTACTCTTCCGATTGAAACCATCACTTTATCTACTTTATTTAGCCTGCCATTTGTAGGTATGTATACAAACAATTCCCACTGTATCTATGTAGACTAGTAACTAGTGGCTGCTCTTATGAAGAATTACAGCCATTAAGAAGCTTTACAGCTACTTATCTCTGTATATGTTGTGTGTTACTACTGTCCTATATGCACGCTGCAACATAAACATTTCCTCACTGTGGGACGAATAAAGGTTCTTATCTTCAAAGGATACGAAGTTTCAAACTCTACACTGAAATACTGGTCGATAAAATTCTTTAACGAGGCAGCAGCAGCACCGCTTCCTGAATCAACCTGAGGCACAAAACCAGACATCAATAAACAAGAATGAGTCATTTTCACATCAATCCGTCAGAGCCCACAAAGACGCCTCACCTCCATGGGGGTCTCTGGCTCTAGGGGCTCGAGCTTCTGCTGCAGGACCCTCATCATCTGTAGCCAGCACTCGTTGGCGTCCTGAAGCACAGAGCAGGGGAAGGGAGAGAGGGGTAGGGTCAGAGTGACCTCACATGCGCCACAACACTAAAACAGTGTTTTGGCTGGTGCGTGTTTGTGTGTAGGGTCAGAGTGTGAGTGTCCAATAGAAAATGGTAGGGTATTGTGCATTTCTGTATGTACTGCACAGTATCAAACTTGTATTCTATAAGTTGATTAATTGCAATGTTTCTATCTTTCATTGTGTTGAATTGTGAGAGGGGACTGGGAAGAAATGAGCATCTGCTTCATCCAACCCCTTTTCAAACCTGTATTAGTGTAAAGATGCATAAAATCGTGTTCTGCAAGTTAGAAATTAATCTAACTAAATCACAGCAGTTTCAGTCAGTCAGTTTCTGTCTGTCCCTGTGAGAGTTGCAGTACTGCGGCTGACCTGTTGGAGGTACTGTCCCTGGTCCCCCTTCTCTGCAAACTGGGGGAAGGCCAAGTGGAGGAACTGCAGGAGGATGATGGGCGGCAGGCTGGACGAGGTCTTGTCCATGGTCTCGTATAGATCACGCAGAGCTGAGAGGAAACAGATTGGATTTGGATTGCCAAAGCAGGGGGCAGGGGGTCTAGCCACAGTGGTGATGACCCAGGACGTTTAACAATATTTAAGGACATTGGTCATCTGCCCCTTATGGACCATAGACTGTGTATTTTATCATTGCATATCTTGTGCTTGATTCTCTGATCCGTGTTTGCAAATTGAAAACTTTGTGAAGTTTTCTGTGAAAACTGTTAATTTAGGGCTATACAAAGATACATTGAAACATGTGGGAAATTTTACTCTGAATTACATCTACCTTATTCATGAAAGTATGAATTCTAAAAATAAGGATATAAACATAACATTGACCTATATCAGAAAGAGTAGAAATAGTTAATTAGTTAGTTAATTAACCCTGTACCTGCTGTAATGTATTCTGACGGAGCGTTGGCCCCTGAAGATCGTAGAGCACCGGCATACCTGCAGACCAAAGACAAGTGTGACCAATTTTTCTACAAATTATCTAAAAATCAATTTCTGATCATTTCAAAATATTAAAAATATCTGGAATAAGTTATTCAAATAAAAAAATGGCACCAGTTCAATGTAAGAGACATTTGAATGTTTATCTCACCGTCTGAGCGCCGCTTTGAGCTCGGGCACGGAGCGCAGGCACTGCACTGTGGCGTTCATGTAACAGGTATTACCCAGGTTTGTGAGGCCGCACGGCAGCTCCATCTGGAAAGAGTGACACGTGATCAAAAAAGCACTTTAGGACCATAGACTGATTAGAACATTTGAAGAACATGTAAAGAACAGACATGATCCATCAGTGGTGTTAAAGTTGGCCTATGAGGAACTGTTTCTGCAGTTTAATTCTGAAATAAACATCGGCAGAAGGTCATACTATCTAGTGACATAAGAAGGAAGTTACATAGTTCTAAAAGTGGAATGTTTTTATTTTTACTTTAAATCTCCAACGCGCGGTCCGAGAATTCATTCCCTGAAGAAGTTCGCTAGTTTGAGGACGAAACGTCGGGAAAACTAAGTAAAAAAGTACAGATGATGGGTGAGAAACCTTCCATTGCTTTGACTAATCCCTGTACGACTGAGGGCTTACACAAACAAATTTGCTTTAACTTGTTTGCACCGAGAGCCAAAGCAATTTCCTAGTTTGTGACTTCTTGTTACTCAAATGGCAATAAAAATAATTCTGATTCTAAATGCAACCATGGTGTACAGAGCTTGGAATACAGACATTCATTCAGGCAGAATTGTTGTGCCAAAAGATGAAGATAAAAGCATGATCTAACATTTTGCATAATATCTCATTCAAATCCAGAAAATACTACTGGAAATTTGAGCAGTTTGCAGGAAAGAGCAGAGCAGGACACTGACCGCGGAGGCGAGCTGCTCCTCGGTCATGTCCTCCACAAACATGGGTCGATCTGAAGGCGCTTCAGGAAGAGCTTCAGCCGAGCCCATCATCAGCAGCGTCATGCCCTGTTCACACCAGGCCACAGTTACACACACGAGACCATTGGTACACACACACAACAACAGGAGACGACTGGAAACCTGTACTCACATTTTTTATTTTGATGTTGCCCCACTCATCGTCCTACAAAACAGGAAATACAAGATAAACATCAGCTCTTAGTTTCAAATGAGGTCCATCTCAATATTTTAAAGTATATAGGCAACTGCTATTTGATAAATGTATTTATTAGTATTAAGTTGAAGGTGGCCACTCTGGCAGTTTACAAATCCAGGTTAAAAACAGTTCTGTGCATACAACTGAATGACTTTTATCTTTAATCTTTTTTTAATGTAAAACGTTAAAAAAATATTGATCTTAAAGCTGTGATCATTTTTATATTTTCAAAAGTGAGACACCACAACAACTCTCGGGTCTTCGTCAAAGCAAGTGACTTTACCCGACAAACTCCTAAGACGGCTTGAAATGTGTCGCAATATCCTACAATAATAACAGGTACCTAGGTCCTTTTCCCATGGCTCCTTGAATAGCACCTGACCCCACTTGTTTGCCCTAAACTTTGTGATCCCTGAAGGCACTTATTGCTCATGTAATTTTGCTGACCCCAACATTACAGGTTGGAACACCTAGGGCAAGCTACAATAAATACATTTAAAAAAACAAGCTAGATGTAATTCCAGTTGTTAGATGTTTGTTGTTTGCTTGTTTACCTTGAGGGTGCCTCCCTTCACCATCACTTTCTGCCTGTCGGGCTGGACTCCTGTCAGGGCGAAGAGCTGAGCCTTAAACACCACCGGAGGCTCTTCTGTGTTCAGCTCCACCGCATCGAATTTCTCTTTACCCCATTTCACGTTCACTGAAGGGAAGAACAAGTAAGTAAGTAAGTAAGTTTTTATTTATATACCGCCTTTTCACTGCAGATCTGAGTCTCAAAGCGGTTTACAATTGTTAATTTTGGGCATTTGTCTCTCACTCCACACAGAGATGGGAGCGGGGTCGCCAGTACAGGAGGCGCATGCCAGAACTATTGGACATATTTTTAGTGGTAGGGGAAACCGGAGTACCCGGAGGAAACCTACGCAGACACGGGGAGAACATGCAAACTCCACTCAGAAAGGCCCTGGTCCGACCGGGATTCGAACCCAGGACCTTCTTGCTGAGAGGCGAGAGTGCTATCCACTCAGCCACCGTGCCGCCACAACACCACAACACGTGCCGCCACAACACCACAGCTGTAGTCAGGGCTCCCTTTCGCCAACTTTATCCCTGCTCAAGGTGCTGTGTCATATAAGCTTTGACATCTAGCGGCTACTCAGGCTAGCAAGCTAACTCTTACCTAATATTTGTCAAATTAAAAAAAAATAGTAGATTAAAATAAACAACCATACACTGGAAAATATGGTAAACAGCCCTAGGTTTATTCTAGCCATAATACAATCTTAAAAATATGACGTTAGTGACGCAAATTCTCAGTTAGCACATAAGCTAAAGAGACATTGCTAGCTTCCTGAATAGTTAGGATATTTTATTTTTTTTTGCAGTAATAAGCCTGCAGAAATTCATCACAAAGCAATAAAAGACATTAATACATGCTAGCTGCTAAACCAATACATATAAAATACCATAAGATATTTATTGTAGGTGCAGAATTTGTTGCAAGAGTAATGTTTCCTGGCTAAACATGCTAGCTTGTTGACATTTGGCAGCGAGCCGTTTCATAAAAGGTTTATCAGATGTTTGAGAAATCTACACAAGTGACAATGATATGGACTCGTTTTTAGCGTTGATTCAACATGTGCAACAGTGTTAACAAGAAGAAATCTCGCCAAAACACAAACAGTAACTCCTCCTGTGGCACTGACATGCTATCAGCTTGCTAATGCTAGTTAGCTTAGCTCCCATGCTGTGCTCCGGCTAAAGACTTACGAAAACACGTGCAACTTTAAATCTACGCTCTTCTCGTTCGTTTTAGATAAATTGCAATGTCGAAAAGCTCTGTACCTGTAAACACCGGCATGTTCAGGGCTCAGTGTGTCTCTAAAGACTATATTTTGTGCACAGTTGTGGTCCAGCGGTGAGAGAAGAGCAGCGGCTACAAGTCCATTCAAACAGAATGACGCTGCAACAACATCACGCCGCTCTGGTCTTATCGACACGCTCTGGATCGACTCATCTCCCTGACGGAGGCTGGGAGTAATCATGGATGGAAGTAATCTGTTACCTTATTATTTAGTATTTTTGTTCAACAATTTAATTAAAATACAACTAGGAAAAGGGTAGCAAGGTTGGATGAGTAAATGTAACCCACAGAAAAACATTTACAAAATAAAAAGTGCCACCGTTTTGGAAAAACTGTGTGTAAAGATCTTATATGATTTCAATACATTATCATTTACTTGCTAGAAACTGACTAAAATTATTGTTATAATAATAATGCATCGGAATAAGTTTAGAGCTTTTTTGGACACTCAAAGGCGCTTCACATGTGTCATTATTCATTCTCTCCATACACGGTGGTGATAAACTACTGCTGTAGCCACAGCTGTCCTGGGGCACACTGACAGAGGCGAGGCAACCAGTCGGCCCCTCCGACCACCACCAACCATTCACACACACACCAGAATCATTCTAGGCAATGGGGGTGAAGTGTCTTGCCTAAGGACACAACGGCAGTTTGGTACTTTACAGCCGCAGCCACCCCACTGAGACTGTTCCCAGAGGTTAAGTGTCTTGCCCATGGACACAACGACAGCAGACAGTGGGAGTCGATGGTGAAAGGCTTGAGGTGGGCTCAAATCCACAACCTTCTGGCTCAAAGGAAAACACTCTACCAACTGAGCTTCTGTAAGCAATTACAAAGCAAGGTTGAATTTGTTACTGTAACCCACAGAACAAAACATATCCAAAATAAAAAATAAAAAACCTTGAAGTGCCACTGTTTTGGACCTTTAGATTAGATGACTAGATAAACTGAGTAAAGATCTTATATAATTTCAATATATCATCATTTACTTGCATAAGAACTGACAATGATTGTAGTTCTCTAGTCGCACCTGGTGGACAATACTCCACACTCATGTAAACAAGATATAAAACCAACATATTACTTAGGACAAAATAGGTACGCAACTGATCATTTGTGTTTGTAGATTGATTCAGTAAGTAATTTGTAATTCTGCTTTTACTTCCCAGTTGTCCATTACATTGTTGTGATTTTTCAGCAAGAAAGAAAACAAATGTGGTCGAGAAGGTTGCGATGCACAAGTTCAACCTGTCCAGACAGTTTCGCAAGACACTGTATATTAGTCTTGCAATTGACTTAACCCCAGGAAGTCAAAAGAGAGTTGCAATGTTTAGATATATATTCCCTAGTTTGAAAGGCAAGATTGGATTATTTTTCATAGAAGCAACAGCTTTTCCAAACAGAAAAGTAGAGAGAGAAAAACCCTCACTCAGCTCTCAGTCTCAAGAGTTTAACAGTGACTCACATGACTCCCCAAATACAAGCTTACAACAGAAAATACATTTTTATAATAAAGATTTGACATTTTTTCCCAATATTTTTTTATGAAACACAAAACAGCTTGGTATCTCTGCTTTAAAACCTAAAATCTAATGAAACCTCCTTTCCTTCCAAATGAATCCCAACACAATATTCAGTAAAGCCCAAGAAGATAATAATACATTAAAAGTTGTTAAAAAAAAATGAGGTCCAAAAGTGAAGGACAACGATATGTTTATTGACATATCCATCAGTGCGGACTCCAATGCAATTAACCATGCAAATTATCCAAGACAAGAGTAGATCATAGTTCCAGTGCTTTTTTTTTTTTTTTACTGAAGAAGCTTTTCAAATAAAAGATTGAGGAGGTATCCCATAATCCTTTTTGTCTTTATTTACACTGTGGGGCGATGTTAGCATTTCCGGGACGACACGTAGAAGCCTCCAGTAGTGACCGACCTTTAGCGAGGCACGTTTGGAGACGACAACAACAACAAAAAGAAGAGAAAAAAAAAATAATCGTCCCGAAATTTGTCAAAGTGATGTGATATGAATGACAACCGTGAACTCTGGACACGCCGACTCCGAGGCCATGTGTCCATAAAGAGGTAATCTTATTTATATTTATATACTCAAAACCAGAGACAAGGTAAGTTACGATAAAACCACATTTGCGGCGATTTCTTTAAAAAAATGTTGATGGAAGAGTTAAGATTTGTGTTTTTTGGGAGAACAGAAGAGATGAGAGAAGATATGGCAGTAAAATCAATATCCGAACGTTAAGGCACGAGGTGGGCCAAATGCTACACCTGTTTAGTCTTCTACAAATAATTTACAATTCAAACAGTGCAGTTTTACATTTGTTAACTTAATCTTTTCCTTTTTTGAACCACGTAACTCTATGAATCAATGTAAGGCAATACATTACAAAAAATACAAGAAAAAAATATTACAATGTACCAAACAAACAGAGGAAGAAAAATGTCGGACTCCGGGTTGCCATGACAACGGAAGCTTCCTTTTATGGCTTGGAGCAATAAAAATAATTATACTACTAAAAAGAATGCATAGATTTTTCTTATTAAAACGATGATCTTGCTGCATGCTCCTCACTCCGAGATACTAGAGTCCCAAACCTGACGAGGAAAAAAAAAAGGCAAAAACGGCCGAAAAAAACAAACCGTAAAGATGAAGGCAAAATAAGTCTTGTTGAAACTGAGATATATTATTTTTTTTGTTGCATTTCAGTGATGGTAGGAAGCAAACGTTTGAGGAGAAATGTCAAAATGTCATAGTAGTAGCTTTTCTTGTCCATGTTTTTAAAGAAGTGTCCCATCTTCTGGTAGACAAGCTGAAGAGCTGGTTCATGAGGGAGGCTGCTTGGCTTCCATTGCTTGATTATGGATTTGTAGATTTTTGAGGAGGGGTTTTGAAAAGTATAGTCCAAAACACAATCAGATGGTTAGCTGAAAGACAGAAAAAGGTAAACAAATATTTAAAATGACAGTAAAGATGTTGATTCTTGGTTAGTCATACATCCTACTGTCTACATGAGCAAACGTAACATTGACAGACATTTTTGGCTCTTTATAACATCAAAAGTCACCAAGTTTTTTTAGTATTATTTATCCATAGTAATTGCAAATATTAACTGACAAATTGGGAGGTTCCAATCGCAAAAAGAAACAAAACAAATGGAGCAGGGTCAAACTTGGAAACTTTTGATTTCTATGGCCTTGACAGCCTCCACACAGGACACATGTAGTGGGGAGGACCAAGGCCTGGAGACTGGACGGAGAAGAAGGGGATGTTAGTTACCCAAACCCAACAAGAGGCAGTGCAAGGCCTGTCAGAGGAGTGGATCATTCATTCTCCTGTGGTACTTTAACTGACAAACTGACTCAACATTTAACAACACTTATGGACATTGGTCTCTGCCTTATGGACCAATGGCTCTGTGCGGATTTTATCATTGCATTTCCTGTGTTTTAACCATAGACTGTATATATTAACGGACAGAGTCACGCCTATCTCCGCCGTTTTAACTAATGGGCCAAAAAATGTGCTCTACTGGAGCTATCCAAAATGGCCGCGAGTGGTCCCTCCCACAAGAAAATTGAGAAAAATCGCATCTGCGCATGCGTCAGCCGGCGCAGCTCCATTCATTTGAACGAGAGACTTCAATAATTCACAGCAAGTAAACTAGAGTGGACCAAAAAAATTCACCCCCCTCAGCATTGACACACATGTGGAACGGAGCTTTGGGCCAAGAGCCAACTTTTGGTCCATCCTGTAAAGACGTTTTCGAGAGGTCTGCCAATGCTATATGTTAGCATTGGCTAATTCTTCTTCTGGGTCCACCCCCACAGGCCCGGGGTGGTATTGCAGCATGTCAGAGCACGTCATTTTGGCCACTTTTGAGCTGGGACCCGCCCTCACTGGTTTTAACAGTTTCTCTGATCTGTGTTGGCGAATTCAACGGTTTTGTCAAGTCCTCCGACATACCTACTGTTGTAATTTAGGGCTAGACTCTTCCTAAAAGTAGCATTAACTTAAATCAGTAATTTTACAATATGGGGATTCATACAATTTTTCTTCTTCCACCTCCTTTTCGAGTTTGAATAATGTGCGATATTGAAATAATTGTAAATGAATGATTTGCTGGAAAATTCTATGTAGTGACATTTTTTATCTACAGCAAAAACTCGAAATAAATGAACACTAATCTCAATATGTGTGTTTACCCCTCTTCACTCATGAAAATTCATTTGTGAATCGTTGGTGGGGGCCCATCCCATAGATTTTAAATTATTGGATCTATGTATTTGTTTATTGTTATTGAGCCTAAAACACTTTAATTACATTTAGGATCATGTTCTTCAGAAATTGTTGGCAGTTTTGCTTCCGAGTCTACAAAACGTATTCTACCTCCAGTATTTCTGAGATTAGATATATTTTAAACATTCTGTATTCTGAACAAACATCAATGGAAAATGTATATAATGTAAAGTTTGTTGATCATTCATCCACTCACATCTCGACGGGGTTGCACTGCCTCTATACATTACGACAAACCGGGGGGATAAAAAATAGATTCCCATAAGAACCCAGGCTACACCAACAAACAAACAAGACCAAAACATCACCCTTTATAATGAAAATATAAGCTACAGAAGAAAACCATTGCAAAAAAATGTTTACAAAAATCAAACAACATGTGGCTTTGTGGTTGCGGCTGCTGTCAACATGTGCTGGACGTGGTGCTGGCGGCGTGGACGTGAGACTCAGCTCGGCTACAAGAGAGGGCAGAGAGCAGGTCATGTGACGGGAGGAACCACGGCCCGTCTCATTCCAACGGGACAAAAAAATCATGTGAAATAGTTTGAAACGGCATCACGTCCTGCAACAATGGGACACATTCATGCAACATGGGGGAGAAAGAATATGTCTCGTACTATGTGTTCAAAACCTTCAGGAGACAGACGTCGTAAATTAGCTGTGGCTATAAATGTTGTAGTGTTTCACATGCTGATGTTGTGTCCCTATCAAATAAATCAATACAATAGAATAAAACTGAATATCCAGAATATAAGATGCTTTTTTCTGAGCCTTGCGGCGTGTATAGCGATGCGGCTAATTTGTGCATTTTGATTGTGTTATTTTTAGTATTGTTTAGTTTATTTTCAGTCAGTATCAAGACTAAAATGATCTACAAAGCATGAACAAATGACTGAAAGGGTATTGGCTGAAGTGAAACCCCATAAAACTTCATTACAATTACAGCACCAAGCATACAGCCATTTCAACAACCAGCAAAATGAAATAATATTTTTCAACAAACATACGCATTTCCTCAGTAGGTTGCATTTAAAACATGTGTCTAGAAGAGTTTATATATTACTAAGCTCTAGTTCTGTATATTTGCTTATTACCTTAAATTTGAGTTTGTCACAGCAGAGTTTATTGACTAATTATTTTGACTACATCAAGTTTTAGCAGCTATAGGACACTGGTTTATTGTCAAAATAGACTGGCTAAGAAGTCATGGAAGCTCGTCATTGTCTCTCTGCTACATCACAACATAAAAACCTGCGGCTTATATTCAAGTGACACTATAGATTAGAATGGGACCATGTTTTTGTAATTGGTTCCAGAAAACACACGCAATAATCTCTCTCGTCTCAAGACTTCAACCCTACCCCATCAAATATTCTTTAAAATGACCACTCTGCTACATCCATATTCTAATCTCACACTGTTCCACTTGCTTCTTTATCATGCTAAAGATAGACTTTATATTTACGTCCTATTATGCTAGCTAATGTTAGCGTGTTAGCGTGCCGTTACCTGAGTTTTGTGCTGCTTTTAATGTTTTTGCGAAATGACTGGTTGGGTCCGGAGCGTGTGGACATGGTGCGGGGGGAGGCTCTGGAGAAGGTGGGTGGCGTTTTGGGGATCTTCTTTCCAAGATGGCCGATCCACTTCTTCTGCTCGTCCTGGGAGAGGGCCAAGAGGAGCATGTCCCGCGCCGAGGTCACGTCGTAGTTTACTGTTGAGCGGAAGTGAATGGTTAATTAGGATTTGGCATCACTTTAGAATAGCTCTCACTAATTGACTGTAAGATGAGGGAATAATGTTGTAACCTGGTAAAAAGCTAAAAAAAAAAAATCGACCCAAAGACTTTGTCAACTAAACACACACCCTGTCGATCAATTAGTCGTGAAAAACTTGAAAAACTCTAAATATTATTACTTACTTCACCCCAACTACTCACAAAACCAATTTAATAAAAAAAAAATATCACTGAAATATTTATGTTTTGAAAAATTCTGATTTGACAATATATATCAAAGAAAATATCAACTTCTGAAGCTATTTTTCATCAGTACCTTCTCCTTTTTGGAGGGTTTGTAATCAAAATTAAAAAAAAATATGTCAACCAACTCAAAACGTGGTTGCGGAATGATCCATCGACCGATTAATCGATAAAACGACTGAAGTTGACAGCCCCGGTCTTCCTGGAGGAGACTTACCTTTGCATGGCGTGATGACCTCCTCCTTCTTGTCGAGGTGGTCTCTGTGGCACTTGACGTGGCAGCGGCGACACTCCAGAGCGGGCGGCGGCTTGAAGACGTGCCACAGCGGTTTGGAGCAGGCCTCGCAGTTGGAGGGGAAGTGGTAGAGCGTGGGGATGAACTCATGGCCTTTGTGCGGGAGGCAGTTGCTTTTGTCGCCCTGAGGAACCGACTCCATGTCCACCTCCTTCCGACACTCGCCCTCGTTGGCGTACAGGATCTGGGGACAGAGAATCAGGCGTTATCAGTCATTATTTATCTACATGTATTTATTTGTTTATATGAATAGGGACAGTTAACATTAATCCACATTACTGTAAATATGTCAGTTTTAGCGATACAGCGAGTTTCCAACTGCAGTCCTGAGGCAAGGTGAAAAATGCCACTTGGTAAAGAAGGTTTTATAATAATACTTTGATTTAAGAGGGAAAGGGTTTTGATGTTATTTTATTTATCGTATTTATTTCATTTTTAAATATAGACCAATTTGAGTCTGAAAGTTTAATGATAAAAATAAGAATTAATATAAATGTATGGACAGTCATAACAATGGCAAGACTTACGGTCTTGCCATTGTTATGACTGTCCATACGTTTATATTAATTATTATTTTTCAAGTAACTGTTTCTGCAAAGTTATGACCCTTAGACAAACCGATTAATTAGTTTGCAGATTAAAATTGGCTAAAATTGGCATGTGTGAGCCATCGACCAGGCTTTTCTTTAATAAGCAGAGCAAGAGCTGGTTAGTGCTGCGATGGGAGACCTTTGGAAACCACAGTGGGGTGACTGTAAAATCTCAAACTGCTGATGTGTCCTTAAGCAAGACACTTCACCCACGTTCCCTAGAAGAAGTAATGTGTGCGTGAACGGTTTGTGGTGGTGGGAGGGGCCGATGGCACAGATTTGTAGCATCGCTTCTGTCAGTGTTACTCAGGGCTGCTGTGACTAGAGTAGGAGTTGATCACCACTGTGTATGGAGTAAATTAATAAGTCTGTCGTTTTTTTTAAGTACTTTTGAGTATTATGAAAAGCGAATAAGTAGTATGCATTCTTTTGTCGATCATCGAATGTTACAGCAGCCAGAAGAAGCCGTACAAAACTCTGACCTGGAATATTCTTGGGATCTCCTCTGTTTCCGCTCGGTACACGTCCCCTTGTGTCACAGGTCGGACGTGGAACAGTTTACTGCAAACAGGACGTCATTTCAAACATAGTCTTAGGAAAGAAGCCGCCTGACATTAGAATAACAGTGTGATCAGTACTTACTCTATATCAAGCACCATGGAGGGGTTGGACTGCTCCTTGTCCTGCTCGTCATTGTAGAAGAGGATTTTCTTGCTGCTTACAACCACATACTACAAAGACAGAGATAGATATTTGTCACGTACAATGTTAACAACACGGCCAATAACCTGTAGTGACAATAAGTGAGAAATTGCTCAAATTTGGAAAAAAGGGAATCTTAATTTTAGCACATTTTGACTGCTTTAAGATAAGATTTGCCAATGGGACAAATCAAAGTTATCTTGTTTTCAAATGATAAAAGAAATGTCTCTCTTGGAATGAGGGGGGAAATAAACAGTTATTGAAACAAGACTAAATGGCTTTGTCCCATTGGCAAATTTTGTTTTTGCAGTGTAGTACCCAATACATCCGTCTTTAGTTTGATTTGAGTGGTCAAAGAAATACATCACAATGATTACGAATCATGTATGTATGGACATTTATCAACATGTGTTCTATATATTTTTTGTGTGTGTCTTAACTGTTGATTCTCTGATCTGTGTTGGTGATTACAATGGTTTTGTTAAGTCCTATGAGATGATTGCTATTGTGATTTAGGGCTATACAAGAATAAATTGTATTGCATTGCATCATAAGACGTTTATAGCTATAATAGGAACCCTTTAAAAAGAACAAGTTATTTCCATTTCTCAGTGTGATGAGCCGGATTCTGAAAAAACCAAGTACTGACCTGCTTCTTCCAGCCGTAGCGTTTGATATTGGCACGATTAGGAATAGACAGCCACCCCTCCAGTCTCGATTCTGAAAAGCAGAGGTAAAAAGACGTTAGCCTGGCAACACACTGGCAACGAGGAGAAGGGGGTAAAAAAACAACAGGCCATGCAAAGTCCAAACCGGGACCAAAGAAAAGCCGTGGGAACCAGTTACAATGATGAGAAATCTGTTTTTATATGTTAATTTAAAGCTGGGACACATAACTTTCAAAGATCAAAAGAAGAACTATGTAATGAAAGCCATCGGACTATTTCCTCGCTTGTGAATCAGTCTGGATTAGGACTGAGAGAAGGTTTTCAAGGATTCTGTATCAGGCATCTTAACTCAAAGCAATTTTTATCACATTCAACAATTACAATTAGCTGAACCCATTTAGTTTTATCTAATTTGCTTGAATCCTTTTAAGTCCAGATTGAGAACACTTGAGAAATCCTTATTGGTTTTTATAATCTGAAATTTGATGTAATAGTGTGTAACTGCCTCTTGCCCTGGACTCCCTTGGTTAAATAAAGGTTAATTAAAGAATAAAAACAGAAAAACTTGAATTACAATTTTGTTCCTTGTAAATTTATATAAATAATCCCAGCACTCGTTTCGGGCAGACTCTTTTTATCTGTTTTTACTGTAATCTTTTCCCTTGCATTATCATCGGGCCTTTTTATGTTTTTGAATTATGACATTTTGACCAAAGGAAAGCTAAAGACAAAAGATTAAAAATATACAATTAAAAAAATATATTTATGAGATCAAAAAGTTAGATACCCCAGCTTTAAATTAGTCTTCAACAAGAAACGCACTTTGTGATACTTCCAGCGCTGGTGGGAGCCGATTGTCTGATGTGTTACTCAAAATTTGACCACTTAAGCTTCTCTTATGTGTTATTTTTCTGTTATTCTATCACAGTTTAGAAAATATATGTTTGAAAATGTCCATTAACCCCATTTTTTAACTAATATACAGTAAAATATTGGACGTTAATCTAAAACAGGTGCATGCATTGATGGCTAAAACTAAATCGGGCTGGGTTTGGGCATGCACTACTTCTCCTCATTCCATTGTGTAGAAACTTCTGCCAAATTGTGTACTTTTTAATGAGGAATAAAAAGGAACTAGAAAATACAATGGGCGACTGCAACTTTAAAATGTTTTTTTTTTTGGAACAAGGGACCAGGCACACTACAGTGGCAGAGCAGAGCAGGCATAAAGAGGGTGTCCAGGTTACTCACTGAGGGAAAGGTTTAGGAGTTACAGAGAGAAGGAGAGCGGACAGGAGACCGACTGGACATGAGGAAAATGACAACGTGATTTAACCAGAATGGAGCTGGGAAAGAGATGGTTAGTTAAAGAAAAAGGTGAAAAACTGAATACACAAAACTCCCGTGTGTGTGATGCTGGCAGCGGAGACAAAGTGTGTGGAGATGGAAGCGAGTGGAAGACTAATGGCTATAAATGAGTATCTGTACTGATTTTAGCAATTAGCAAATCAAAAAGGTTGAGGTTATTTAGATTACATTACATTTAAAAACAGCAAATAATCTGGTGGTAAATTATCTGTCTTTCCCTGTGTTAAGAGGCTTATAGAAATACAAAGGCTTTTCTATAAGGTATTTCTATAACAGGCTTAAGGAAAGAAAGATTTCTGCAAAGGTGAACAAAAAGTAACAGCATACTGTTACTTATTAACCTAAATAAGGAAGTATTTGGGCTCACGTTGACTGTTTTATTAGTTACTAGAACAGGCAAGTCCAGTCTTATCTAATAATCCCACTCGGCTTGAAACAAAGTTGGACAATTTAAAGTCAATTAATCAAAAAATATTCTCAAGTAAAGAAATACAGCTTCCAATGTTTTTAGAATTTTCCGCATGCACTTTGAACATTGTTCTAGCTTCAGAAATCACAATTTGAATGACTATCTGTAAAACTATAATAGGATATTTATTTGAAGAAAGATTATGCATTATAATTTTGAAATATTTTGTTTTCTCATTACAAGTTTTGCAGTGTGAAAATATCAAACACAATATGGTGTAACAAGTATCCAGAGTAAAAAAGGCTTTCTGCCAGGAGTACAATGTGTTTTAAAAAATAAATTAAAAAAAACAGCTGCAAATACAGCCATGACATTAATAAATCTAATTTATGTACAACACTACCGAGTGTGATGTCATAGTAGTTCAATGACTTGGTCGAAAGTAAATAAAAACGTCCCTACTACGTGGTCTGTGAATAAAAGACATTTATTGGGAGCATCATAGCTGTACGTATTTTTTTCACAGTTTTCACGTTTTGCACTTTTTTAATCCAGCACGCTAGTCCAGACTACACAGATGTGCAGATTTATTTCAAATATATTTATTGAGCTAAATCCGGTGTCAATTTAATTTCAGTCGGCAATTCATAAATGTGTGCATCATTCTCTATTGGGCCAATGGCATTACTTATGGCATGATCACAAAGCACTCACAAATGTCCGTCTCATAAAAGTAAAGATGAGGAAATCAAAGTGACCACAGATGGCTGAAGTGAAGGCCCATTGTGTGTGTGTGTGTGTGTGTTTGTGTGTGTTTGTGTGTGTTTGTGTGTGTTTGTGTGTCCTGAACTTCTGTACCTGCGATGCTGAGGTCGGTCTCGTCCGTCTGCAGACTGGTCAGGCTGGAGTTGTCCATCCGCTGCTGCAGGTCGTTCAGCCTCTCCCGCAGCTGCTCAATGTCGCTCTCTTTACTGTCCAGCTGCATCTGGAGCTCGTTCCGATACGTGCACTCCTCTGACAGTTGCTGGAGGTACCAACAAAAAATCGTTTGAATTTGACAAACTATGAAGATAAATGTTGAATAAATATGTCCATTACAAAAACAGTAATTTGGTTAGTGCAACAGAATTTCTGTTACTAAACATGAGGATGCAGCGTTTCAGATTTATGCAGCTAAAACATGGAACAATCTGCCTGGAAATGTGAGACAGTCTTCTCCAGATTGAGTTTATCTGTGCATACAACTGAGGTATTTTAGCTTCACTCTTTAATGTGATTATATTTGATTTTAATAATGCATCGGTTTTATATAGCGCTTTTCAGAACACTCAAAGCCACGTGATAAACTACTACTATGGCCACACCTGCCCTGGGGCACACTGGCAGAAGTGAGGCAACCAGTATGTGCCTCTAACCACCACCAACCATCCACACACACACCAGACTCATTCTGGGCAATAAAGTGAAGTGTTTTGTCTAAGGACACAACAACAGTTTGGCACTTTACAGCCGAATCCGCGCCACTGTGGCACCTGGTGTTCCCAGAGGTCTCCCATAACAGTACTAACCAGGCCCATCTTGTTTTGTTCAGCACCATAAGTTTCCTTGTGTATGAACTGTGCTATACAACTTGCCTTGCCTTGATAGAGAACGGATGGATGCATTTTCATATTGTATATTGTGATTCATTTCTCTGTAACCTGGCACTGATTCGGATGGAAACTAGCCATCTTGCTGTAATCTGGTTCAGAACACACCTGTCGCTATGAGTTTACAGGTCCCTTTCTAAAGATTTAAAGGTCCCATATCACACTTTTTGATACTTCTCTAGTCAAGTTTAAAAAATCCTATCAGTGCTATGTGGCCTCATACACATGCCCAGACTAGTTTTTTCATTGATTCCCCCAAGCTTTAGTTAGAGAGGCAGAAAGGCAGTTGTTTCAATAGAGCTGGCATCACCTCTATGCAAGAAATGGCTATAATTTCTAAGTTTTGAGTGTTGTATGGCATAAGATGGACTGTGAAAAATGAAGACTGAAGTATATAAAGTATAAGAGCGCCCCTCACCGCCTGCATCTCGCTGAGCTCCTTCTGGTACTTGATGGCCATGTGGTTGAACTTGTCCTTCTCCTGGTTGAGCTCCAGCTGCAGTTTGCGGTTCTCCTTCTCCTTCTTGCGCAGGTCGGCCGTGCTGCCCTTCTTCTTCTGGTCCAGCTTCATGTCTTTGCGGTTCATGATCTCCGCCAGCTTGTTCACCGCCTAAAAACGCAAAAAAAAAAGTTGAAACTTTTTGGTGTTTATGTCCCGACAGAGGGAGGATTAGTGCGGGACTTACCTGGGTCTTGAGTGTGCGCTCTGTGTTGAGGACTTTCTCATACGTGGCTTTGATTGAGTTTGCAATTTCTTCCTTCTGTGCTGTGTAGTCTGAAAACAACAAAACAGTTCATAGGAAAAAGTTAAATCCAAAACAATGGGCCCAGTTCTTTATCATCATCATTCATTGTCATTCGTACAATTTTTTTTATTTTTTATGAATATGTTTTTAATTTTAAATTGCATTCAATATGTGTCCATTTAAGCCCTTAAACCAGATGTCGAGATTATCTACAATAGCATTTCATAGGGATGTTTTAGTGTGCAATGATGCCATCTAGTGGCGGTATGGGGAGTTTGATTTAGACAAGAGGGGTGGAAAGACTATTTTTATTCTGAGAACTTTCCCCATCGTAAAATGAATAAGGAATTGCATTGAAAAGACATCCAATCTAAAACATTATAATGATCAAATAGGGGAAATTTAAAGCACACCAAGCATTTGTACTTAATATTTCTTGTTTTGTGTTTAAGATAACAGATATGAATCAAAAGCCTGGTGCTGGCCAAAGGAAGAATAAATTGGCAAAAAGATAATTCATTATTCTGTTAAGTGCTTAGGCCTTTGTTGTAAAGAAAAATGCATCAATTAGTGGAAGAAGATCCTCATAATAGTGTGAATGTAGCTAACAACAAATCCAAGACTGTTTTGATGTGGTAACGATATTGTACCATAAGAACTCCAGTGCAGTTCTGTATAATATTGGTCCTTTAAGATTTTACATTGGAGTTCAAATAAGGCAGAGCTCTTACCCTCCTCCTGAGACTGCAGCTTCTCACTCAGCTCGGCTTTCTCTTTACTCAGAATCTCCACGTCTTTGGTCAGAGTTTTGTTCGATTCCTCCAGCTGCACAGAAACATTTCAACATTTTAGCTTACATGTCAGTATTAGGGGTCGAGAATCAGCCTCATCAATATCAACAAATCTAGTTATATCGGTAACTGACCAATTTGTAAAAAGAAATTGCCAAATAATTTTACAACAAAATATTAGCTTTGTCCAGACTACTGGTCCAAACAACATTTCATTTTCCTTATTTTGATTAAGGATATAGAAAAATTATGATTAAATCTCCCAGATCTCATCCAGTCAATAGAGTGGGAGCTTTTTTTTGTTTGGTTTTTGGCATTGGTTTTGTTGAGTAGACATATTTCTCAGACATTGAAACAAAGTTAAATGTTGAAGTTTGTATTACTCAAAATGTTGACAACAATATTTTCACTTTTACTGCAAAATAGCATCTCTATATATCAGTTGTCATACTACTTAAATATGAATTATTGGCCTTGAAACTCCCATATTGGTCGACCCTGAGTCAGTATAGTCTCATTACCCTGGAGATGGTGGACTCCTTCTCTGCTGCGTCCTGCTTGTGTCGGGACAGCGCCTTCTTGTTCTCTTGGCTCAGCTCAAAGTACTGCTCCTCCTGCAGTGCCCGGGCCAGCTGCTCCGACTCCGCTTTGGTCACCGTGAGGTCCAGCTGAGCCGACAGCGAGTCCCTGTGACCAGAAACACTGGTTAGAATCAAAATCCCATTAGCAATCTTTTGCCAGCCAGGCAATCAGCAGCCAGCCAATCATCAGCCTTTTCTTCTGTAGCAGTGATTGGATTGACTTGCTTTTCAGAAATGTGTTCCTGGTCTGGACCTATGTACCGGACCCCAGTCTCTCCCCATCTCCCTGGGTGAGTCTTAATTATCCTGTCTTGTCTTATGCTCCACATGTCTTTATGTGAGCAGGAATTATGTTTAAAAATGCAATAAAAATATGGGTAAAAAAGAAAAACAAACGGTTCCCATTTCTGAGAGATGTTTGGTTGCAATTGATTGGACAGCTAATACCTCATTGAAGTGTGACTTAGCAATACTTGGCAGACTTAGCAATGTTCCTAGTTCTGTGATTGATTGAAAGATAGTCTAGGTCCTGGGAACAAATGCAGCCGGTCTCAGACCCTCCTAAATCTAGCCACAAGTGACCAAATGTCATAAGCGGGTGGCTGGTCCAACGTTTTTTGTTTTTTTTCTTCCCCATACCAAACAAGGAGAGTTGATAGATTCTTTACATGCACATTCTGTACATTGAAAAAATAGATAAACCAATTGTGTACAGTCCTTCGAGACTTTCCCTTAACTACTAACAGACTTTGATGAGGCGCTCAGCAGAATGGTAATATAACACTGAATAATTATTGCAAAGTGAACCAGAGAGAGAAAAATAATGATTATGGTTTGACTTTTAAACCCAGATTTTTTTCTAATAGAAATGAATAGAATTACCCTAAAACAATGTCCACAAAACGTACCTTTCACTACATAAGTCCTGCACCTTCTTCTGAGCGTCCTGAACTTGCCGATTCTTCTCTTCTATCTCCTCTTTCAGCTCCTTTACCTGAGTTTTGTAAAGCGTCTGGAGATAAGAAAAAAGAAAAGGAGATCAGCAATTAAACAACTATCAAAATGACAGAAAACCCGTCATGGACAATTGTTTTTACTCACCGAAAAATACTGTTCTGCTTCCAGTTGATCCTGAAGTTCCCTCATCTGTCCTTCGTTGCCTCTGTATTGCCTGGACATAGAAACATAACACATAATTAGTTCATAGAGAAATGTCGGAAGTAAACATGGACTGCAGATGGAGCCAGCAGATTAGTTGTGGGTTAGTAATGGAGTGGATGAATTTTAGCTAAGCCCTAATCTGAGCGTGTAAACAGTGCGTTTCACAGGAGCTTTGGCAGCGTCCTGCTCTAAGCTGCTGTAATAGCAGTAATAACAGCCAATTCTACTGCAATTTTGGCCTCAACTCCTAAAGAGCATTAGAGGCCAACGCAGAGATGAGAAAATAAGACGGGTATGAAAACAGTTCTACTTTTTGCGTCTTACAGGATAAAATAAAAACTAAAATTGGTAGCAGGTGTGGTGTACAGTAACAAAAGAGAAAATAGGCTATAAAACATTTTAAAGGGGGCATAGCAGGCTTCTGTTCTCTATACAGGGTCTCAGTATTGAGCGTAATCAATGTTACAAAACAGACAAGTCCATGCTTTTTCTTATTCAGTCACACAGAATGCCTCTATGCCCCTCCCCTTTGCATCACAGGATATTTTATTTCATTCGAGCCAAAGAAAGACAATCAAATCATATACATATTAAAAAAATTGGCAAACAAAGTAAGTAAAAACACTGGAAGGGGTTGGGTGGCAGTGTTCAGAGGACTGAGGGGAGAGCAATGGCTTCTTGCATGAAAAATATGTTGAATTGAATGTCTGAATGTCTCTAAAAACAACCGCCTATATGTTCAAAAGTTTTCATACCAAAGCCATTTCTTGTCAAATAAAAGCATTTTCCATTTTCAAGTTGACCACTGAGAGAATAAAATGTTTAAATCTCTGGCTGAATGTGCAAACTTTCAAGCACAACTGTAAATAACAAGGGAAAACTAGAGTAACATGGGTCAAAAGCTGTTAACAAAAGTCCATACTTGGTGAGCTGTGCGAGCTGAAACTCCAGTGACCTCTTGCTCTCCAGGGCCGTGTTGATGTCCTGCTTCATCTGCTTCTCGTTGCAGCGCAGTCGGTCCAGCTCCTGCGTCCGGCCCTTCAGCTCGCTCTGGGACGTGCTCCTCTTGCTTTTCTCCTGCTCCAGATGCATCCTCACCATCGTCACCTGCACAAGCACCGACAACTGGGGTCACTCACAATACCATAGGGGAGAAACACAACCCTTGAGGGCGGCTGGAAGCAAGAAATGTATTTTGTCTAAACAGTAATGATGAAATTGAAGTTTAAGCTGAGGTATGTAACTTTCAAATCACAATAAATGGAACTTTGTGATAAAAATCCATGTAGTTACAGTTTCAACAGCTGGAAGCAAGTATTTTGTTTAAGCAAGAATACAAACAAGGCATGCTTAAACCAGTCCTTGGAGTAAGACCGACCTCATCCTCCAGCTGTTCCTTCTGCTTCATGAGCTGCTCCATCTTCTGAACTGACTGCTTCAGGTCGAACTCCAGCATGTTGCACTGCTTCTCCACCTCCATCACCCGGCTCTCCGCCCGCATCCGAGCCCCGTTCTCCTCAGACATCTTCTGCTGCACAGCTGGAAGAGCAAAGTCAAAACATCTGAGTCGGACTCGTGAATAATTACAACTCATCCCTGGCCCCTGTCCTGTACGTCACTTAATACTAAGGCCACTTTACTGTGAGAGGAAAAAAAGATTATGTTCCGTATTGCGATATTTTGGACACGCAATTAAAATTGATACAGTAGAGCAGTGTCTCCCAAAGTGGGGTCCGCGGCCCCCTGGTGGGCCGCGAGGGTACTGCAGGGGGGCCGCGGGAGGTCATAAAAAAAATTAAAAAAGAATATAATTATTTAATGTTAAATTTATAATGTTTTGTTTGTAATATTAAAATATTTGTGTTCATTATTTGACTTGAATAATCCACTGTAATCATTTTTGTATTACAATGTTTGTAGCAGAGGCTATTTCCCCAAAATAAAATAACCAGAAGAGCCTATTCTTAATGTTGTCTTCTTGGTTATTATTTTGGGGGGCCACGCAGACCCGTCAGATTTTTAAGGGGGCCTCGGTGTTACTGAGTTTGGGAATGGCTGCAGTAGAGCAAAGCATTCCAATATTTAATTAAATAATAATCGGTTTGCTTTTGTGTTTTCTCTGAGTTTACATCTGTTGTCCTGTGTACTGAATGTTCAAGGTTAACATTTTTGCACTTCCCTCCTAAGTTTTTGCACTTAGCGTTAGCGTGCAGACCATATTAAATTTGACATTTGAGTTGAGCAGTCTTACGTTCCTCAATTTTTGTAATGCCTTTAAATAATAAGAGGGACGTGAATTACAATACATCACAATATCAAATCGCAATGGTTGCTGTATGGCAATATGTTAAGAATTGCAATAAAACTGAATTGTGGGGCATATATCCGAATACTATCGAATTGTCGCAAATTCCCACAACAACTGCCACTTTAACTGCACTGCTAATTGTCTACTGTATATACTTAGTGCACTTGTATATAGTAATTTTAATACATCTTATTTCTTATAAATCAATTTCTTTGTATGCATGCCTCTATCTATTTTTACTCTTACAACTTGTTTGAACCTTGAGCCAAAGCAAATTCCTGGTTTGTGACTTCCTGTTTCTTACAATGGCAATAAAATAATTCTGACTCATGTATCCTACACCTACTACACCTACACATAGTTGTAGTAGAAAAAAAGCCATTACAACAACATGACGTTATACATTATACTTAAAAAAAAATACATTTGGAAAAAAATAATTGACTGCCTCTTGTACCGTTCATAGCAGCGGACTTGGCCTCCTCGATGGACTCGTATTTGTCGGTGAGCTGAGCGCGGGTCACTCTGTGCTCCGTCTGCTCCTGCTCCAGCCGCTGCTGCAGTGTCTTCAGCTTGTAGTTCAGGTCGATCTCCAGGTTGTTCATTTCCTACAAAGCAAATGATTCAAGACTGATTTAGATCGACAATGCGAAAAGTTATAAAATATGAGGTAATAAATGATTGAATCGAGTGGTTAAAATCCTAATTTGAGAACATTCTGACTGTCTTAGAACAAGATTCACCAATGGGACGAAGCCATCCATCCATCCATTTTCTACCCTTTAATCCATTTCTGGGTCAGGGGGTGCTATGAGACTTGGGTGGCATCTCTGATTGCCACCCAAGTCTCATAGCACCAGCTCCTCACTGACCCTCTGCAGGTGGTGAGTCCACAGGAGGACGGCTGCTCTCTGAGTGTGAGCATAGCCTTGATCTTTCAGTGGGGGCTTTTGGGCAAAGTGGGGTTAAGTGTCTTGCCCAAGGACACAACGACAGCAGTCATCAGTGGGAGTCGGTGGAGAAGGTGTAGAGGTGGGAATTGAACCCACAACCTTCAGGCCTGAAGGCCAATGCTAATGGGACAAAGCCATTTAGTCTTATTTCTAAAACTGTTGCTTTTTTTCTCATTCCAAGGGAGACTTTTTTTGTATCTTGTTAAAAATAGATAATTTTGCATTTTTGCAATTTTTCCATTGGCAAAGCAGTCAGTGTGTGCTCAAATTAAGATATATTTAGCATTTTTTGACTTTTTTTTCAAGAACTGTTTTATAAATTAGTCAAGTTTCCAATAGCGGCCCCTGTTTATTTTTTGTAACGGACGTGATGCTTTGAAGGAATGAGCTGTGGAAGTTTGTTACATATTTCAGATCCACATTTGACTAAGATTCTTTTTTTTCCCACAGAGTAGAAACAAATCAATTACTTTCAAAGAGTAAACCAATTAAATGTTAGACCAGACCATTTTTTGTTCCTCAAGTTAAATGTGTATACATTTTTCAAGGGTCGTTAAAATTTTAATGATTTTTTTAAATGATTTTTTTTTTTTTTTTTTTTTTTAAATCAAGTGACTAAAGGCGCGTTCAGACCAAAAGCTTCAAAAAGCTTTTGACGCGCTTCAACTGACGCCGGGATAGTTTTGTCATTTTGGTGCTTGAAGCTTTTGACGCGAGTGACGCGCCTGACGCCGGTGGGAGGAGCTTCTCTGTTGTCTGTGGGAGGAGCTTCTCTGTTGCCTGTAGTCAGGACAGCGGTTGATTTTTCAATGAGCAGCGAGCATTTATTTGTTATATAAAGCAAAATAACGTTGTTGTAGGGCTTCAACAAAACATGTTCTGGGTTCACCACAGACTTGATAGGCTGCAGTGTTTGCAGAGTTCCGTCATTTACTCCAGGAGCTGCGTACGGAGGAGTTTCGCTTTCAGCGGTACTTCCGCATGTCACTCGCCCAGTCTGAGTTCTCAAACCCCGGAGCTCGCCTCTCCCCGGCTCTCGCCCGCCTGGAGCTGCCTTGCTCTGAGCCAGACTCATCGTCAGCCTGTTCTTATTTTAAATAAACTACGTTTACTACACAGCATGTGTACAATGATTTTGTTACTCAGAATGTTACTACTCATACAAATAATATTACTAATAACAATAATGACAATAAAACACCAGCAGCAGATACATGACTTCTCTTCATGACAGAGACAGACCCTCTGCTGCTGCTGCTCCTCGTCTCCTGATTGGTTGAAGCCCGCGTCAAAGCTTCAAAAGCTCAGCTTTGCTCAGCTTCGGCGTCAGAGGGATTGTTTTGATACGCGAGCGTTTCGCGCGTCAAAAGCTTCAAGTGAGCGCGTAGTACGCGCGACTCTTGAAGCTTTTGACGCGCGTCAAGTGACGCCGGGGCTCTCGGCTTCACCTGACGCGCTTCACCATTCACTTTCAATGGAAACCTGACGCTTTTGACGCCGAAGTTAAGTCCGGTGTGAACGCCCCTTTACTGCTGTTGTGTTAGCCATGTTAATCTTGTGGGAGTTCATCTTCCACTTTTTTGGACTGATGACCTTTTATTTTCCACGTAACTTGCACAGTAGAATGATAAAATCAGTGGCTGATTTGGTTGTTTAAAATTTCTCCCAAAATGTATTTGTCAATCTTTCCTTTTGATTTTACCCACACCTTCTTCGATATGTCATAGAGTGGGAAAAGATTTCAAACTCAGATAGTAAATTGAGCCATATATAAAGAAAGGTATTGATGCAGTAAACTACGTATAAAGACATCAGAGAGGACCACACAACTCAGTGATGAAAAGTATGATTTTATGTAATTATTTGTCAAAGTGAATGTCTTACTTTCTCGATGTTGTTGCTCCTCTCTTGTGCGTATTTGCGTTCAGATTCCACTTTAGACAAACTGAGCTTCAAGTTTTTGTTGTCCTCCAGCAGCCCGGCCATCCTCGCTAAAAACACAAAAAACAATGTGAATCCTTCATCTTTAAAAGGGCCTCAGTACAGTGAGCTAAATACAACATTGTGCTCGTTAATAGTAATTAGCAACTGTATGCAAAACTGGAACAGACTGAATTGCTTGACATGACGTTACATGGTAATTCTGTTTTATGATTTTATTACCAAAGGTTCTACTACCGGTAACAATAAGAAAAAAAAACTATGAAAATAGTGATAGATGTAAAATACCATAAGACGATCAGGTAATAAGAAAATAGTAAAACGGTATTGTACTGCATTGTTTAATTCGCTTTCACACATTGTTCCACATTGCCACTCTGGATCATTGTTTGTTTTGTGAAGTTATTTTGTCATTTAGATGAAAATAAAAGTGATCATAAAGAGTAGATTTTTTATTCATCACAATATCTCCTTACTATAAAAATCGCTCATATGGAAATCATTAAAACTACAATTTTTTTTTTTTTATTCTCTTGTCAAAGTAAAACATTGGGACAGTACTGGCTACATCAGTTTGGGACACATTTTGGTCATGTTTAGTCGATCATTTTGACGAAAAAGGGGGTAAAATAGGTATATCTGGCGGAAAAAAAATCAAACCGCGAAAAAACAATGTAGCCATATCAAAAATGTGATATAAACTCAAAAGTAAATAATAAGCATTTCTGTCTTAAAAAACTAAAAATAAACCAATTTGAACTACCTTCTTTTTATGTTTCCCTATATAAAACAAAATCACCTAAATACATAAAAATAATTGGTCCTCAAATGCTGCATGTGTTGGTCGACTTGCCATTGACTAAAACTATAATATACCAGGCCTCACCTTGCAGCTCGTGGATCTCCTCAGAGCCCTGGTTGTAGTTTCTCCTCTCGGACTCCAGTGTGCTCTGCAGGACCAGGATCTCCTTCTCCCGCTGGGCCTTCTCGCCGTCAGCCGCCCGCCCTCGCTCCTGCAGCTCCCGGTTCAGGGTCTCCAGCTGGCTCATGGACTTGGCCATCTCCGACTGGTTCTTCCTCAAGCGGTTCGCGGTGTCCGACTCGGCCCTGAGCATGTCGTTGGCCTCCTCCAGCTGCGGAAATGCCAGAATTTTAGCCATAGGTGAATTATTAGACTGTGTGGTCATTCAGCCAACTCAACTTTTACCAAGATATTGTCGTCACGTCCATGTAAAATCCCCCAAAAAATGGGATTTGTTTACCTGGTTATGCAGCTGAAGGATCTTGTCATTTGAGGCTTGTGAGTTCTGGCTGATTTTTCTCATGTCTTCAAGCTGCTCCTTTAATGTTGACACTAAAATACACACAGATTGTGTCACTTTACTTTTACTTTTCTGATACAACAAAACAATGGAGTGTCAAACAACTATGGCCTTCTCTTCTCCCCGTTTCATCAAAGATATTTCCCATCCACAATTCCACACACTTTCTTCCAGCTCTAATCCAAGCTCCTCCCATCTGACTGAGCTTCATGCACAAATCTCAAACTTTCAATGTTAAGCGCAAACCAGCTAAGTTTATGAAAATCAAGCCACTATGAACCATTTCCTATACAACTCTGCAAAGCTTCTCTCCTCCATTAAAGGCCATGGATTGTCCACTCTTTTAAAAAGTAACTATAGCCTGAAGTGTAGTATCCGCCATTACCCTCATTCTCCAGGTTGCGCCTCTTCTCGGCCTCCTGGTCGGCTTTTCTTTGGGACTCGGTAAGCCTGTGCTGCGCCATCATCTTGTCTTTCTCCAGCAGAGACATGCAGCCCTCCGCACTCTTCCTCAGGTTCACCTACATCACAGAGAGAGAAGTGAATGGGAATTGAGGCTACAAGATTCTGTAGGGTTAGGGTTATGCATATGGTTTAGGAAAATGCTGATCTGTTTTCTCTGGAATGGATGCACGGATGAACTTATATCATACCCCCTTTTTTCTTCAAAACAAGTTAAGAAAGTAGCATTTTGGACGGCTACATGAATAATAATGATAATAATAATACATTTTATTAAAAGCAACTTTCAAAAAACCCAAGAACACTGTACAGGACATAATAAAAACATTAAAAACAGGATCAACAGAATAAAACAGCAGTGCCATATGGAAGGTGGGTGCGTGTGTGTTAGGTGGGGTAGGGCAGTCTGAACAGATGGGTTTTGAGTCTGGATTTGAAGAGTGGAAGCGAGTCAATGGTACGGAGGTCAGGGGGGAGATAGTTCCAGAGCTGGGGGGCAAAGTGGCTGAAGGCTCTGTGTCCCACGGTGATGAGTGTGGCTGGGGAGACTGAGATTGTGAGAGTGGAGGAGGAGCGGAGTGTGTGGGCAGGAGTGGCAGGGTGGAGGAGGTCAAAAGTACGAAGGGGCCAGGTCGTGAATTGCTTTGAAAGTGGAAAGGAGTATGAACACTGAATCTTGAAATGTTTATACAGTTGCTTCTGTACGTTTGTTTTAATGATAATAATGAATAATTCATTTTATTTCATGCCACCTTTCAAGACACTCAAGTACACCTTACAATAAATTAAAAAACCATCACACACGTTATTAAAAAGTACAGAATATAAAATATTATCAAATGACATAGAATAAGCCAGTTTAAAAAGGTTTTGAGATGTGATTTAAAAATGTCGAATACACTTATACTGGTCACATTAGCACGAAGGGTAGAGAAAAAATAAGCACTAGTTTTAATCCACACCTTTCTGATCCTTCTGCTGTATATGTATTATTCTGAAATTGTGTTTGTAAATGTGACTGAAAAAAAGTTAACTCGTTCATTCAGACTATGCCGTCCAAAATATGAATATTACTACTGGTAAGGACATAGATGTTTTCGAAGACCAACCTCTTCATCCAGTTCTTTAATTATCTTCTCTATCTTTGTATTTGAGGTCCTGTAAGAGCGGAAAAGAAAAAAACACTGAGATTTGCATTTTTATTATCATCAAAACATCATGAAAACACACATACAAACCCACATAACACATATGACAAACACACACAATATAGAAACACACAAACACAAACTGACACAGGTCCAGGGGAGAAATCTAAAGCAAAGAATATTGTATCTGTACTAAAGAAAAATACATTCAAATTCATTGTGGCCTAAGATGATCTTTACAATAAATCTCACTAACAAACACATTGGCTGCTTCCAACTCCACTCTCATTTGCTGTAGTTGAATAATCCAGACCATATCCCGGGCTAACCTCGTACCTGCATTTTTGCTCCAACTCATCCTTCAGCTGCATTTCGCTGTGCAGCTGCTCCTCCAGCTGGTAAATCCTTTTTTGGAGGTTTTCAAGCTGAAACATGAACAAATGGAGTCAATATTACACACGCCTCAAAGACAGAGGTCAAGGCAGAGATAGAGAAGTGACACCCACGTGGCTTTTGTCTTCTTTTGTGCTGCTGCAGCGCTTGTCAGTGGTCTTGGTGCTGGAGGGGCTGCGGAGTAGGCTGTCGATTGAAATGAGAGAAATTAGCCTTTGTTTGGCAAAGAAAACACCCCAATACAGAAGATGCAATATAAAAAACTCAAATAAGGGACAGATATTAGTAACTTTGAATTGATGTTTATACTTCAGGTCATATCTATGTAAACATTTCTCCTGTTTAAAAAGCTTTGTTTTTAAATGTAATTTGTAAGTAACTCGTGCACTGCAAAAATGCTAAAATTGAGCGAGTAATTTATTGAAAAGGGTGGTTTTTATCTTAATTTCAATGTTAAAACAAGATTTGTCAATAGGACACAGCAATTTAGTAGTATTTCAAGACCTGTTACTTAATATTCTCAATTCATATGACAGTATTTTTGTATATTTTTAAAATAAGATCATTTTGCTTTGTTCCATTTAAAAATCTTGTTTTAAGGCACTCAAATCAAAATGCATTTTGCCAAATTTGCCAAATTTTTGACTTATTTCTCATCACTTTAATCAAGTTCAATCCTTCACTTGACACTCAGAGATAAGGCAAAAAACATCATGTGTACGAACGGTCCTAACTTTTGAAACTTATTTTTAATTAGTATTGGACTATACTGGGGATGAATTTAAAAGGTCCGGCAAAACTAGGGACAGGATATACTGTATGTAAGAATTTTTCAGTTCAAGGTGAAATCCTGCAGATGTGTGTTAACTGATTTTTATAATAGTTTATTGAGTAAGCAGGTAAGCGAGGCTATCCGTTTCTAGCCAAGCGCTTTGACACATCGCGAGTATACACATGCATGAATTTTTCTGGGCAAGTCTGATCAAATGAAGCTGCATCACAGATTATTTATCCAGTCTCAGTTCTGGACTTAGAATCTTAGTTCGGTCTTGTGCAGTTGTCATCAGGCAAACGACCCACCATCAACAACCAGGTCTACATCCAGGGGTATCGAGATTTCAGAATATTAATTTTTTTGATAGAGACAAGTGTACACGATCGATATGTGTCACACTGCAACTTTCGGCTAAATCCAGGCTATTTCCAATCCATCCTGAGAAAAACCAGCCCAGTCCAAGATCAATATGAGTTGTATTCCTAGGTCTGTCCTCCCCGGCGGTCTGTCCTCTGCGGCGGTCTGTCCTCTGCGGCGGTCTGTCCTCTGCGGCGGTCTGTCCTCTGCGGCGGTCTGTCCTCTGCGGCGGTCTGTCCTCTGCGGCGGTCTGTCCTCCTAGGTCTGCCTCCTAGGTCTGCCTCCTAGGTCTGCCTCCTAGGTCTGTCTCCTAGGTCTGCCTCCTAGGTCTGCCTCCTAGGTCTGTCTCCTAGGTCTGTCTCCTAGGTCTGTCTCCTAGGTCTCATTCTGGAGTTTAAGAGGCAAATACATTTTCCTGACATGATTGAAATGACACAAAATTGTCTCTTGGAGAGGCATTAGAAAGATTAAAATCAAGTATCTCAGCTTTAAGGTCGTCTGCATGTAGGTGAAATTAGTTTTGACCAAGTTAATGCTGCTATCTTCAGTATATTAAGTGCCAGGAGTTGAAGTATATTTCTGCAATACAATCCATTCATAAAATTTCAGCATGAATGAGTAATATAGAAGCCGGTTACTTACTGCTGGCTGCTGTAATACGTGAATCCTACGAAGGGAAGCTGGTTGCCCACAAAGGCCTTGGGGATGGGGAAAGTCTCCTCCTCTCCTCGCTCCTCCTCGATGTCGTCAAAGTTACTGGTGTCGACATCACTGCTCAGCTCTGGCACAACTGGAGCAGCAGCTGAAATGGGCAATGGCATAGTTTAGCATCGGTACCACTACTTCAACTAGCAAACTACAACTGAAGTAAGGCAGATCACCTCCTAAGTGTCATCATTTGTCCTTTGTCCCATGTTCAAGCATTACCAAGTTTTGTAGAAATCTGCCCATCAATTTTTTTGTTAGGCTAATAAATAAATGACTGGCAAACTAACCGACAGACCTCACAAAGACTTAATAATAATAATAATAATAATAATAATACATTGTACTTATGGCGGCATGGTGGCTGAGTGGATAGCACTCTCGCCTCTCAGCAAGAAGGTCCTGGGTTCGAATCCCGGCCGGACCAGGGCCTTTCTGAGTGGAGTTTGCATGTTCTCCCCGTGTCTGCGTAGGTTTCCTCCGGGTACTCCGGTTTCCCCTACCACTAAAAATATGTACAATAGTTCTGGCATGCGCCTCCTGTACTGGCCCCGCTCCCATCTCTGTGTGGAGTGAGAGACAAGAGCCCAAAAAATAACAATTGTAAACCGCTTTGTGACTCTGGTCTGTGAAAGGCGGTATATAAATAAAGCTTACTTACTACTACTACTACTACTTGTATAGCGCTTTTTTGGACACTCAATGACGCTTTACAGAACTTCGGTTGAACTACTACTACTATTACTATTACTACTATTAGCAAACTACAAGTGAGGATATCCAGATCACCTCCAATGTGTCATAATTTGTCACTTGTCCTATGTCTAAGCATTACTGAATTTTTTTGAAATCTACCCATACATTTTTTAGTTATGCTGTTAAATAAATACATACAGTAAATATCTCACTAACTACCCAACAGACCAGAAAAGACCTCTGTTCACATCTTTTCCAATCCAAAGAAACTGAGTCGATCCTTGTAATATTTGACTTTTTCCTTTTTCAATTTAACACAAAAAGGCCAAATATGAACCCGAGAGCTGAAACACTGGTTGTATATCAACAACCGTTTCCAGCAACTGTCTGGAGTCGGACACATGGAAGTAGGTTTGTGGGCTAAAACAATCGTGGGCACTGTCCAATGAGGACAAAAATGCTAACTTTGAACTCATGTTTGTACTTCAGGTCGTATTTATAAACATTTCTGCTGTTTAAACGGCTTTGTTTTGTTAATAACTAGCAGTGGTCAAGTGAAGGATAAAACTTTGTTAGACTAACGTTGTAAGGAACTAATTTCCAAATCTCTCTCAAAGTCCCATGTGTCATAGCCTTACAGAGTTTGGTTGTCAAACTTCTTAACTTTAACTTAAATATGATTCATAAGAAAAGATTCAAGACATGGGGACAATGGGTGGGAAGGGCTGAGTAATTTTCCATTTTAATTCAATCACAATGCAAAGTTTTGAATACATGAAAGAAACAGAAGGGGGGACTTTGTCATTATTTTTTCCTGAAACTTACAGCAAATAATGCGAACAAAATCAGTCCTTATCCTTCTGCATTAAATTCTGGTAGATTCCTTTGAGCAGGAATGTCCAAAAAAAACTATATTTGTATGTGATGTATTTTGAAATTATATGTATTACTTGTTGTTTACATACAATACCAAACTGTGCTGGTGAAAGTGGTCAGAAATGTAAGTTGATAAATCTATTATATAACTCATGCCCAGCTCCAATTATGAGCCAGCAAAATCTGAAAAATTATGAATTTTGTACCAACATTTGAGAAAACTCTAAAACTATAACATATATGTACCCAATATATTCTCTACCCTCCAGTATAAGATTAGATAATTATGATATATTGGTCAGGGGCCGAATAAAAAAATGTAGGAAATGGTCTGGGCCAAACATTTTGTTTGCTTATTATTGTTTTTGAAGGTATTTTGACATTAATTTTATGTGACATGAGGATCACTGTTTTCTGGTTGATTTTTCTTAACACAAAATGTAAATTTGGTTGTTTTGCTGAGAAAATAGAATATGTATAACAGGCCTTGGTAGCCCATAACCATAAATGCTGACAGTTAACAAATAATAATCATTGAAAATAATTTTAAGAGTTAAATAAAATTGTCTCGCGGGATGTATTTGGCCCATGAGTTTGACATGCCTGCTTTCGATGAATCACTTACTGTCTCGTATGTTCTCCCATGTCCACTGGTCATTCTTAAAGAACGGGTGTCTCTTGATTTCATCCACACCATTGCGACCCAAGCGCACTTCCCTATAAACAGAACAGAGATAGCCAATCAGCATCCATCAAACTGACAACCAGGTCCTGTCCAAGTTTACACATGCACATCTATGTAGAGAATAAGTGAGCAATTCTATTAAGATTCCTTCCATGCCACGGAACATGCCCTGGTCAAACAAGAAGAGGGGCTGGAGATAAGGTGCTATCGGACCTGTCAGTCAGAAAAGCGCAGATGAGATTCTTGGCATCGTTGGAGATGTCGCTGTCGTCAGGAAACGTCAGGGCATTTTTGTGGTTCATGATTTTGCTGTAGGTGCCAACGAGGGAGTCCGCGTAGAACGGAGTGTCGCCTGCACAGCAAAGCAAAAGGAGATTACAATATTATTTCTTATGATCAGGCATAAGAGTATGTTGAGCTACAAATGTGCAAAAAAACGACAGAATACCATTTGTATATCTGACTCTCATTATTCCACATCTACCGTTTGTTTGCCATTAGATACAGACTACAGTTGATTATTGACTTGCAAAATTTGTATTCATTTCTTCCTTTATATAACCAGGAAAGTCCCATTGAGATTAAGAACCTCTTTTTCAAGGGAGTCCTGGACAAGAGGCAGCAAAAGTTACACAAAGTTACATAAAATTACAGATTATAAATACAGTGAGGATGTCTCAGGGGCTCTCAATCTTGATTTAGAAGCATTCAATGAAATAAGTTTAGTCAATTCCCAGTCACACATTTACGATTTGATTACACATGTGACGTTATGGGGACGAATCCCTTACGGCAAGGAAAGTTCGATTCCACGGCTACGGATTACCACGCAATGGTCTGATAGTTTTAGCTTAATACTTCCTCCAGATACACACACAAACACAGATATGATCTTAACACCCCTTGAATGAGTAACAAGTATATCATGTGGCCATAGAATGCAGTTTATTTATTTGTGTTTAAAGTAAAAGGATTGATAAACTCTAGTCCGCACCGCCGATTATGTACACTATAGATTTTATGTATTTATAGTTAGATATAGTCTTCTACCACTTCTCTCCTCCCTTTCAAGAGGCGATAAAAACAGCTATCAGCACAAAATTATCTTGCCTTATCAATTTATTCTACTTCCTCCTTGTATTCTTGTTGTGTTGTGTTTACTGGAGGGGAAGTATTTAAGCAAAGCAAATATGTAACCAAAGATGGACTACATAACAATAATAATAACAATAATAAAGTGATTTTTTTGGACACTCAAAGACGCTTCACATGTCATTATTCAATCACTCCATACACGGTGGTGATATACTATAGGAGCCACAGCTGCCCTGGGGCACACTGACAGAAGCGAGACATCCAGTATGTGCCATTGGCCCCTCAGACCACCACCAACCATTCACACACACACCAGACTCATTCTAACTGTAGATGGTCCTTTAAAAAAAATATATAATGCTTTTTTAAGTGATCGATTTTGAACTTACCAACGAGCATCTCATAAAGAAAGACCCCCACGGACCACCAGTCGCACTCCCTGCCGTAGTAACCGTCTCCTCCCTGGGATTTCAGTACCTCGGGCGAAATGTAATCCGGAGTGCCCACTGCTGTGTCACATCGTACCATGCCATCCTTAAAAACAAAACAAACAAAAAACAGAAATTAGCTGTAGGTTATTTGCTTCAAGAATGATATGGTGTTTTCATTTTGGGGCAAATACCTTGTTCATTTTCATACAGGTCCCGAAGTCTGCGAGTTTTAAGTGGCCTGTTTTGTCTAGCAACATGTTATCGGGTTTGACATCTCTGCAGAGGAAAACAGAGAAAAACAAGTGAACAATGGCACTGTCAAAACTGTAAAATACCAGAGCGAGGATGCAAGAGAGCTGTGCTAATTGTCAATGGGGAAAATAGGCAGGCTATTGTCACTGGCATTGCTGACTACTTTTCAAAGGAAATTCTACATGGCCAGTCCGTTCGTAACAATGCAGCAGAATAGTACTTTTAAGATCATACTTGATAGTGTAGCAGGGTTAAAACTCAATAAATGGCTTGATATTGTGTAACGCAAAATTATCTATATTCACCATAAAGTCATGCTAGCAGACTCCATTTAAAGGAGACATATTATGGATTATTTGGGTGCTTAAACATGCCAATTTTCTTTGGCATTTCATGTTTTATAATGTGAAATAATTTTAAACCTGAAAACGTATGGATAAGTAAACGATCAACCAGAACCGCAGCCTGGAACTGCTCACTTCTACCACCAGATGGAGCTGTCAAATAATCGTTTAATTTCTTACAAGAGTCAAAAGTTCTTGTTATTAAAGTCAAAACAACTCCCAGTCTGTTTGTGATGAAGGCTCAATGTTGAAACACATTTTAAAACTAAAACCAAGCGACATGTGCCTTTTTTTAACCCTTCACCTGTGAATGAAGCCCATAGAGTGGATCCCGTCAAGAGCCAGCACCACCTCCGCCGTGTAAAACCGTGCCCACTTCTCAGGGACGTCATAGTTGCTCATTAAATTCACCAAATCTCCGCCCGGCATGTACTCCATCACCATGTAGAGGTAGCGGTCGTCTTGGAAAGCGAAAAAAAGCTACAAACAAAAAACAAAAAAGTTAGTATAAGTTTGTATAACGATATTATATAATACATAATAAATCATTGGGATAAATAAAATAAAAAAATCTCTGAAAACTTTTTCATCAAGGAGTTCTGTAATTGTACGATTCAAATAGCAATTTTAATAACATTTTGATAAATCTTGTAGCCTAAAGCATTGTTTTCTCACTAGTTTGCTTGCTATTGTGCCAATTGCAATGTATAGTAGAATGGTTATCGTTAAAAACGTATGTTGTCTTTCTGGTACAGGATTAATTCTGAATAATCTAATGTCAAAGAAAAATAAGCACATTCTGGAAGCTCCGATCTTACCTGCACCACCCAGGAACTATTTGCAAACGCCATGATGTCTCTCTCCTCCCAAAAGAACGCAGAGTCTGACCGCTTGATCATCTCAAACTTACTAAGCAGCTTCATGGCGTATACTTTGCATGTAGCTCTGTGTCTTACCTACAAAACAAAAAAGACAGAAGTTTTAATTATGCAGAAAAAAGCATAATGCAATGGTGTGCTTTAATGAAGACGTAGCATTCTTGTGTCTGCTATATAAACAGGGTTGACCAGTGAGGTTATGCGCACGTGATAATGAACTGGCTAGAGGCCTGGAGGGCAGAAGCAGCACTGTGCCCTCCTGCGCCCTCGTCATAAGGTTGTTTATAGAGAGATTTTATTAAGGTATCTCTGAAAAACAGTGACACATACAGTGCATCTAGTTTGAAGGGCTACAAAAAAACGAAAGACTTGACATTTCAGTTTCCAGCCGACATACTATAAAAATTAAGATCCAATGGGGACCCAAAGGGAGGTGGGGGTAACTTACAATATATAATTATGCAAAGTACAATCTAAAACAATTTTTATCACAAAAGAAAAATTAAGATCCCCATTGTAGATCAAAGCAACACAAATTTCATATCTCACATCCTCCCCCTCAGTTTTGATCTAAATTTGTGATAGCGGTCTGTTTTGGTTTCAACCGTGAATCCGAAAGGAAATGTCAGCAAGAAATAACTGCATGTAAACAAAAATATTCAAACAGGTCTGTAGTAAATCCTTAAGCGGTAGTCGCAAGATGATTTTGATAGAAATTTGAAAGAAATCAGACAGATAACACAATACATGCCTCAAACAAGCAGCATTTAGTGGGGGTCCTTGTCTGAAAACCCCTGATGTGTTATATACATTTTAATTTTGATTATAAACGATGAAAAGAAGATCCCACGCATTTTTGTATTCAGTCTTGTCATATTGTTTTACTTTTCCCCTTCACGCAATTGTGATCCGAGTTAGCAAACACAGATCAACAAAGAAAGTAAATGGCGTCTAAAGTGTTTTAAAATAAAAATTACTCAAACATGCACCAATTTCTCTCAAAACTACTAGAAAAACTACTGTAACGTGATCAGCTGTGAAAAGTCGAGTTTGCGTGGCATGTCCCCTTTAATGCAACGTTTATCTATTAATAGCAACTAATTGAATTACTGCAATAATGAGGAAATGGAGGTTTTACTATTCAACCAATCCTCTCTATGAATAAGTTGTCTAGGGGCGTCACTCGAACTCGTTTTGGTCAAATGAATGAAAAAAAATCCCTTATAACAACTAATCTATAATTAAAAAGAATTGTCCAACTAATCAATTATCAATATAATGGTTAATTACAGCCTAAGAAGCAAGTAAAATCCATTTCACAGTGACATTTGTTTTATTTCTGTCTTTTAATGTTTTTTTATGTCTGTATTTGTCTGTGCACACTGGAGACTTTTTGCTAATGTATTCCAATGTGGTGTTTTTACTGCAAATGGCAAATAAACTGAAACTGAATCTGAATCTGAGATGCAAAAATTTGTACTTGATCAGTTGAGAGAAGTCAATTTTGAGTGCCATGTCTCCTTTAATGCAATACATTTGAACTTACCAACTGGACCTCTCCGAAAGCTCCTCTACCGATGACTTTGACAACTTCATAGTCTTCCGCTTTCATGCGAAGGTCCCGTATATTACTAATTGTGTCTTTATCTGAAAAGTGAAGTGATATAGTTAAAATGCAATCATAATTCATTGATACAAATACAGATTCATTTAGAACCAGCACAATACTTATTTTTACATAAATCACTAACTAAACTTGCACCTGGTTCGAAAAGGGGTTGGATAAAGCCAATGCTTATTTGATTCCAAACCCCATCACACACACACAGTTTTAACAATATCATGCAGTAGAATTCTCAAACATACAACTGTACATCACAATCAGGAATACAATACTACCACTAATTGTAAAAGACAGACAACAAAAAACACACACTCTCTGACAACACACAGGCTCAAACACTCTCCGACCCTACACCTCTCTCCCACTACTTTTTCTGTGCTCAAGGAATCACTCTCTTTCTTTCCACATATTTCATCAATACATCTTCTTTAATTAAAGTCTTTAACTCATCTGATAGATCATTCCAAAGAGCAGCTCCACGCACCGAGACACACATTGATTTTAAAGTAGTCCTACATTTAGGCCCATACACTAAATGTATATAATGCAATATTCATGTTTTTTCCTTTTCATATGAGCATTACACCTCTATAATGATTGTGTTTTATCACCACTGTGATAATAGTCTGATGTTGCCACTTACAAAAGGCCGCACAGTGATAATGAACTGATGTAATGGTGTAACGCAATAGACCATAAAACCTGAGCTATCGCTTTAAACTCAAGAGTACCTCCTCCCTGCTGACACGGCTTCCCCCAGGGTACAGTTTAGTCACCGTTCAGCGAATTTTCACCACTCAAGGGATCCTTTTCACATGCAGTCGAATCCCAAATGTTACCAAAACATTCGAAATAGGCAGAAATAACCACATATTTTAGTAAGTGACTATGCTAAGAGGTTGGATCATGCAAAAGCTGATGACCCAGGTGTAAAAATAACAGTGTGGAGATAGGAGAGTTCCCCCGAGGCTCCAGGCCATTGAGAACTCACAAGACCCATCCATTAGTCCATATCCGTCAATGCTTTTCAGCCACTTGGAAGCGATATATACAAGAGTACTGTAGCAAAAGTAATTGAGGAGATATGTAATGGCAGTTTTAGCCACAGGGGTTAGGTGGCTTACGTCTGGATGGAAAAATTTCATAATTATACAACTATTTACAAGTGTTCATACTGATCAGTCATTGAAAAAAGTCTTTGAACGTATTGACTTTGTTTAGACTTAAGTTCCAACCGCACACTGCCAATTAACTACTTACTTTCCAGTTGGTGAAACATGAAATATCTTGTAAAGGCGTAGCTGTTCATGCCCACTTTTTTTTACCTGGACTAGAGATTTTCCAGAATGTGGAACTGATTTTAACATCTGTGTTAAAGTGGGAGTGTCAAAGTATTTAATCAAAAAAAAATTATAATGCATACAAATGGGCGGCACACCGTGGGCGGCACGGTGGCTGAGTGGATAGCACTCTCGCCTCTCAGCAAGAAGGTCCTGGGTTCGAATCCCGGTCGGACCAGGGCCTTTCTGAGTGGAGTTTGCATGTTCTCCCCGTGTCTGCGTAGGTTTTGTGATGGCAAGCGACTAGTATTCATGCAACCCTGCCTGTGTCTATTCATATGTCATATGTCCCTGTTCCAGGAAGGAGCCGGGCCCCCCCCCCGACACCTACAGACAATGGCGCAAATCACTGTCCTCCCTTTCGCCTCTTGCATATCTATCGGTCTGTATGTGTGCATCTTCTACGTCCTGCTGTCTGTCACACCCTTGTGTCTTCCGTGTCTTGCATCTGTATGACCTGCATTTAGACCATTGTCTGTCTGTTCGCACCTCGTTCCCAGACGGCGCCAAACGCTCCCCATGCGCCTCCTCACGGGTGGCCCCCTCCAATCTGTTGTGGGCGGGACTGTCTCTCGTGTGTGTCTTGTATACAGGAAACTTGGGGCTCTGCCCCTCAGAGCTAGTACATGCTGCCTTGTGTATGTGCTGACTCTCCGTACGTATGTTAACAATAAACTTACGCTTTTGATCAGACAAAGGACCTTTGAGTTTTCTCCTTCATTGGGTAGAAACTTCTTTAACAATTTGGCGTTGCTGACATGTCTTGGCATGGATACTTTCGGCGGGGACGAGCGGCTTTGTTTGGCCGACCTGGATCACCAGCCTCTGTTCCTTTTTGGAGACAAAGGAGGGCGCGCTCGTCCCGCGCACGGAAGGAATCCTTTTGCCACACAAGACCAAAAAGAACCTAATCTGGTGAGTCTTGTCTTTTCATCTGCGTAACGAGCCCAGGGCAGCCCTTAAGTCGACACGGGGATTTGTTTATTTATGTATTTTTGGGGTATTTCATTCATTGCCACAGCATAGTCTGTGTGCGGGATTTTTTGGGGGCTTTTTGTTCTAGATTGAAGCTAGCGGCTGCGCGTTAGTATCGCACTGTAAGCGACCCTGGAATCTCTGAGTGTCTTCAGCCAGAACCGCTCCGTTTTCAAGAACGCGCGCTCGCTGGTTGAACCAGCGGGGGGGGGAACGGAGCGCCCCAAAGTGGGTAGGAGCAGGGAGAGACTAAGCGGGTTAGGCCCATTGTTCGTACGAGAAAATGGGTAAAAATCATGCTAGAAGATGCAAGCTATGGAGTGCTTGCCTATGGTGCAGGCCATTACGCATCTTGCGTGATAATTTAGAAGAAGAAGGGAAGAAAAAATATACTTGGTTTTAAGAATATCACGGCAAAAGAGGTTAGAGAAAGAAATATGTAAAAACAATAGCTCCTCCGCCTTTCACCGAAGCGGAGAACACACAGGCGCACACACACGCCCTCTCTCACCTACTAACCCTTTCACACTAGGAGCAGAACTCCATGCTAAGTACGCGCCCAAACAAGGCGTTGGGTTTTTAAAAAATGAAGCAGACTACTGTTGTCTCTTTTCCCTCTTCCCTATCCAGGTCTGTCGGCGCCTTTCCTCCGCGCTCTGTCCTCTGCCTCAAAGCACCAGCCCCACGCCCCAACCACAGGCGGCGCCCGCACCAGCTGAGACCCCGCGAGAAGTGGGCCCAAACCGCAAAGAAGAAGAAGAGGCGGAAACAGACACACGCTCAGGAAACCACAGAAGAAGAAGCGAGGGAAACAAATATGTGAGACACCGACAACTGCTTTGGAGCACAGAGAGAAACTGCTCCAAATCCCGTGACTGTTCTCCACGGAGGGGGCAGCGTGATATACCAAACGCACCCGCGGAAACCCCCTTGAAAGTTGTTCCCGCACCGCAAACAGAAGAAGCCATTGTGACCGGCACGTTTGGGTTATTCACCAACCCTCATGGACCACATGCTAACGCTTTGGGCTACCTGGGCCTCCTGCGGACTTTGAAAAACTTCCACAGCCCGGCGGAAAGACTGTGTGCTCGACATGGGTCGAAGGACTGTTACCGGAGGAGGCGTTAAAGGCAGAGGAACGCTCAAGCTCACACGGGGCCAGAGGACGGCAGAGGCGGGCACGGAGGAAACACGAGCGACTGACCAAACCTGGGTTCACATTCGTCACCAAAGCGACCGCTCATGTAAGTTGAACAACAACAAATTGCAATTGGCACTTTTTAGAGATAATTCATGCCCGTAATATACGCTAACAATCTGTGGTGTACAAGTTAAAATTCTGGATGACTCCGGGGCAACAAATTCTGTGCTAAAAGTGACAGCCTTTCTGTCTCCCCTAAAATGAGCGGCCGCTTCATATTCTAATTAGCAGCGTCGGAGAGACGACTAAAGAGCAATTTACGTCACCGCTAACGTGTTTTGATTCTCAGGGCAACCAGCTTAAACATTCTTTTCTATATTCCCCATTGTGCCCGGTTAATCTACTAGGCCGAGACCTTATGTGCAGACTCAATTAAAAATAGATAAATAAAAGGAGGCACCGGTCCCAAAAGTTAACTACCACTGGAAATTGACACCAAACCCTGAGATTGCTAAGTTATTAGCCACAACAAGTGGATAGTGACGCCCGCACAAAATTTGGAGGTCAACCACGCGAACGACCTAAGCTGCTCTCTCCGGTCGTTCCCAGACAATAACTTGGAGTTTGAAAATTCATGCAGTGTAGGGAAGATAGGCTAACGGAGTACGTTTATTGAGATAGGCACCACTATCTGTGCTACTTAATGAGTAACAAAAACATTTTTATCGTGAAACAAAGGTGAAGTATTAAAGTTTGAGACTAATTTACATTTTTAATGAATCCGACCTGGCTTTATTGAAAAAGAAAAAAAAATAAGGAAAAAAAACATTTTTTTTTAGGTGACAAGAGCTCATTAGAGATATAGGGGACACAATCTGTGATAAGCCCGAAGTATAGACCACGTGGTAAACACTAAAGTTGGAAATGGATCCTTTTAGGAAAACTCTTTTAAAGCTCTGCAGGCTCTGAAAGTTGCAACAATAAGAAATAGCTCATGAGACAATTGGAATTGGACATGGAAAAATATAACAAAGTTAAAGGTACAGGCCTTCTGTGTGTGTTACATGTTTGTGTGTTATATGTTTTGTGTATGTTATATGTTTGTGTGTCATGTCAAAGTACACTACGCTGACCTTAACAAACTCTGGACCAATACTAACGTGGGGAATCGGCCTGTGATGTGACTGTGATGTGACTGTGATGTGACTGTGATGTGAGTGTGGAGTGAAATGAGGAATGCTGAACGGAATCATGGAATAACAAATGTGTCTGTAATGTTTTAATGTGATCATGGAATAATTCTTTTTTGTCAACAGCATACGGTGTAAGTACTAGAGATTCAAAGATAACGACCTTTATTGAACAGGTGTAAAAGTGAGAGTACTCTGGGATGAGTACTCTGAGAAAAGTACTCTGCGGAAAGTACTCGGAGATGAAATACCTCGCTGAAGATATTGGGAGTTCCTCACTCTGCTGTTTGCCCTGACAGTGATTCGGTCCAACCGCAGTGAGCGGTCATTGGGCGGAGGACAACTTTGGTTCGTAAACTCACATTTAGGGGAGTATAAAATTAGTAACATACATTTTGTTGTTCTGTATCTGGCTACAGCCTCCGCCCTGATGCCACACACCGTCTGTCAATGCAGTTATGTTTTGCCCAATTGGGAAAAAGATTGACAAGCGAAAGTGGGCATTTTTTGTGTTTTTTTTGTGTTCTGATATTTCTTTTTCAGATGAGAGATAAACTACCCCTGCTCCAGGGATGACAGTAGTATGGATCAGGAGGAAATGAGCCTCCACTTTGGCACAAAAGCCCACAATATGAATTGAGGACGATCCGGGAGAAAAGCAACTGGAGATGAACGGAACAGTCGGTACTTTTGCAGCCTCACTGAGGGCCACTGAGACCCACTGCTTACTTCTCAGCAAAACTCGATCCCGTGGCAGCAGGGTTGCCTCGCTGCCTGCGGGCTGTGGCTGCTGCTGAGAAAGCGGCCCTAGCATCACGTGACCTTGTGGGATACACTGAACTAACCTTGCTTGTGCCCCATGCTGTTTCCCTGATCCTGTTAGAGCAGAGGGCCTCTCGCCTTTCTGCGGCTCGTTGGCTGGGGTACAACACGGTGCTCTTTGAACTACGGTGAAGGGATGCACACAGCTGAACCCCTCCTCGCTGCTGCCCACGCCAGAGGAAGGGGAGGCACACTGCTGTATCGCCACAATAGAACAGATATGCACTCCCAGGCCAGACCTGAAAGAGGTGCCTCTGACTAATCCTGACTTGATTTTTTTTTATATACAGACGGAGCCGCGTCACGTGACAACACTGGGAAGAACCGAGTCGGCTATGCTGTGTGTTCTGATTTTGATACTATAGACTCTGGTAGTTTGCCCCACTACCATTCAGCACAAACCGCCCACCGGGGCTGGCAGCGGGCAAAACGGTTAACATATTCTGTGATACGCGTTATGGTTTCTCTGTGGTGCACGACTGGGAAGCACTGTGGAAACACCGCAATTTTATGAAATCTGATGGTAAACCAATTCTTAATTCCACACAGGTTGAACGTCTGCTGAGAGCTGTAATGTTGCCCTTAGAGATCGCTGTATGCAAATGCCAGGCCCACACTAATGCCACTGATCCCATCTCCTGCAGGGAATCGGCGCGCGGACAAGGCAGCGGCATACGCACCTCTACACACACACACACACTACCTCACTCAAGACGTTGATATTTTCTACTCCAGCAGAGACGCTGCTGTGGGAGGGGAATGGGGCTCAACGACGGCATGGTGTGTGTGGCTGGGACCAGACAGCAAACCGTGCCTACCACGGCATTTCTTCAGACAGTTTGCAATTTTAGCACATGGTCGAGACCATGCCTCAAAAGGAGGGATGATGTGTGATTTAATCACACAAAATTGGTATACAAAGGGGTTTACGGCATTTGCACAGAGATTCAGCCAAACATGCGCTATATGCCCCGCGCACAACCCAGGTAAGTCCCAAAAGTATCCAACAGGCTGCTCATCCTCCGCCCCTGCGCCCATTTCAACATGTCCAAAGGGACTTTGTTGAACTCACACCATGCCAAGGTAAGTAATACTGTCTGGGTCTGGCGGATCTCTGGTCCAAATGGACTGAAGTATTTGCAGGCATACACGCCACGAGCAACGCGGTGGTGAGTCACTTTGTAGCAAAAGTCATTGAGGAAGTGGGTGAATTTCTGGGCATTGATATACGTAAACACTGCAGTTACGCCCCCTGGTCCGGAGGCACGTGCGAGCGAGAGAATGGCACTCAAAGCTCTGCCGCTAGCCCCACGTTGGGCGCGGGACCCCCGAACAGAGATCTGCCAAGCACCTCTTTGTGTGATGACGACATGCTGTCCTATTGTAAGGAAATTAATGCACTTTTGTCCTCTATTTCTGCCCAGGTCAGGAGCGCCCTGCCACAGGCTGCGCAGGCGACTGGGTCCTGATGAAGGAAACGAGACGAAAGCATTGGCGGTCCAAGCGCTGGCTCGGCCCATTCCTCGCCCTCCTGGTGACGGACACTGCCGTTAAGGTCGCGGAGAGGACAACTTGGATCCACGCCAACCACTGTCGTGCGGTGCTGCCACTGAGGGCCATAGACGAGGACACCGAGGGCGCGGACGGACCAGGCCCATCCGCGGCTCCCTACGCTGAAGAGGTTGGCCGGCGGGCGGCCACCATCGGTGAAGCAGGCCAACAACAACACCCAGAGAATCCCAGCGTTGCCGAGGCAACCCCCCTTTGCCCAACTCCCCAGCCCCCGGACCCCAAGGCCACACCCCAAATCCCGAGCACTCTGCCCAACCGAGTGCTGAGGCCAAGGCTTCAACGCAAATAGAGTCTTGCCGCTCCAAGACCAAACATCGCCATGACCACTAACGCTCCACACACGCTCATAGGGAGCGGTGCCACTGACTGCAAGGCGGCACTGTTCGACCGGCTGGTCCTGGACCACCTGACCGCGTCTGTGGGAGGCGTATGCACGATCATCGGGTCGTCCTGCTGTACATATATTCCGGCCAACGATGAGGACGGAGGTCTTATCCAACAGGGCATAGCCAATCTGACTAGACTCCGGGACGCCATGCAAGCGGACAATGTCACGGACACTCCTCACGGTCTGGACTGGCTCCTGTCCTCCTGGCGAAGTGTGCTCATTAATCTTGGTTTAGCCCTATTGACCGTTATGATTTTATTTTCATGTGTATTACCCATGGTGTTTCGGGCCGTTGGTAAAATGATATCCACTCACTTTGTGTCCATTCAACACAGAGACCCTGAGGCGGACCTGGCCGCGGTCCCACTGAACTCCGATCCTGATTATATCAGCGATTCGGACGACGACTTTGTCTAACGTTTTTCTTTCTTGTTTACTTTGTTTTTATTTTTCCACTTGTTCCGCCCACAATTTAGGGGGAGGGTATCACAGCGAAGAGCTTTGACCACACCCCCGTAATACAAGAGGCTTGGGTGACGGCGGCGTAACCTGCCCATCAACAACTCTTCTTTTACTCAGGGGCCAAGGTCAATACTCACACACCTGAATGTGATCTCTGTAAAACTGGGGTTTTTACATTATCACGGGAAAGGAGTGTGATGGCAAGCGACTAGTATTCATGCAACCCTGCCTGTGTCTATTCATATGTCATATGTCCCTGTTCCAGGAAGGAGCCGGGCCCCCCCCCCCGACACCTACAGACAATGGCGCAAATCACTGTCCTCCCTTTCGCCTCTTGCATATCTATCGGTCTGTATGTGTGCATCTTCTACGTCCTGCTGTCTGTCACACCCTTGTGTCTTCCGTGTCTTGCATCTGTATGACCTGCATTTAGACCATTGTCTGTCTGTTCGCACCTCGTTCCCAGACGGCGCCAAACGCTCCCCATGCGCCTCCTCACGGGTGGCCCCCTCCAATCTGTTGTGGGCGGGACTGTCTCTCGTGTGTGTCTTGTATACAGGAAACTTGGGGCTCTGCCCCTCAGAGCTAGTACATGCTGCCTTGTGTATGTGCTGACTCTCCGTACGTATGTTAACAATAAACTTACGCTTTTGATCAGACAAAGGACCTTTGAGTTTTCTCCTTCATTGGGTAGAAACTTCTTTAACAGTTTCCTCCGGGTACTCCGGTTTCCCCTACCACTAAAAATATGTCCAATAGTTCTAGCATGCGCCTCCTGTACTGGCGACCCCGCTCCCATCTCTGTGTGGAGTGAGAGACAAATGCCCAAAAATTAACAATTGTAAACCGCTTTGAGACTCAGATCTGCAGTGAAAAGGCGGTATATAAATAAATACTTACTTACTTACTTACTAAATGAACTCCTCCTGTGGGAACTGTGCCGCATGGAGTTTGTCCCCTCTTGCTTTAGTAAACAGTTTTCTTAGATGGGCATTATAATGACGTTTATTGATATTAGTGAGTGATTTTTGATGAATGTCCTGACATATAGAAATATTAAATATAATATATTTTGTTGTATTTTTAAGTATTAAGATAATGTATAATTTGTTTTTAAATCACGTCTTTAGAGTCTTGTTTCGAGGAAAGTCAAGGTGCCAAGGGGAAGAGCCTATTGTACCATTGTAGGGGACACCGGAGCATATGCAGGCATGGGGAGAACTTGCAAACTCCACACAGAAAGGGGGTTGAACCAAGAACCTTCTGAGGCCACAAGATCACCATGGTTATAATGGCTTTTACTTTAACACATAGAGATATCGCTCAATCTCAGTTAAAAGTAGAAATTCAACGATAGTCCCAGGTTTGTGGCCACTGCTTAGAGAAGCTATCACGATAGGCATCATATGGGTCACCAGCCATTTATGAAAGCCTCTTTGTTGGGGACACTGTGCAGCAGACATGCATTGTGTCCGAGCGCACACTGAAGCGCTGACCCAAAAACAGCCTCCTCTCCTGCTCCTGCTTCTGCTCCTGCTCCAGCGCCTGGCCCTGGTCCCAGAGCCGTGCACGCAGCCCACACAGCGCTCGCACAAATGGTTAAGATGCAGTGCACAGTACTTACATCTATTCAAGAAATTGTCAATGCTCTTGTTTTTCCTGAGGGCAGGGAAGTCCAGGTCGTACACCAGAGCATCCAAGCCATCCTGCAAAAGAAGAGAGATCAGGGTTAACCAGCGGTCTCCAGCAAGACACTATCAGCAAATGTCTGATGTTATTAGAGCAGAAGAGGCTAGCTGTGCACACAACACATCACAATTGAGAGCAAAAAATAAATGACACATGAGAGATAAATTAAGTGTTTTGATAGTATTTCTTTCATTAAAAAAACAGGACATAGACGTAAAAAGCATACATACACGTAGATCTAGAACAACAAAAAATACCCAATGAAACACTTACAAGCTCAAAACTATGGTGTTGTCCAAAGTACTACACCAAGTTGGTTGATCTTGCACTTAAGTATATTTAATTGAGATTAATGCCAAGGAAAGTCCTGTCTCAAGATATTCAGAATAGGTCATTTTTAATCCAAGATATTTGCCACTTATTTTTGAAATGCTTGATATCTGTAAGTGGGTATGAACAGTCTATAAAGTAAGCAGCTCTGATAGTATACAGTGCTTGCAGTCGACGGATTATTGACAGACCAGTATTATAGCAAGGCTCTACCATCTGAGCCACTATCGCACACAAATGCACACTTAAAATTTACAAAGTAATTAAATGTACAATTTATGTGAACAACCTTGCTCTGATTTCAGCTATTTTCAGACGTCTGATGAAGCTGTTTAAGTCCGTTTGTATTTTTAGGTCAGTGGGAAGAGCATTCCACAGTCTTAAAAAAGTCAGAGGAAAAGCTGTTCTGAACTTAGGAACCACACAGTCCCCACTTACAGAGGCTATGGTGTTAGGTCTTGGAGAACCTTGACATCTGACAGCCGACCAGAGAACAGCGCTGGAACATTATCAGTTAAATAAAAAGTCTGTGTGCAAAAGCTTACAAACTGTTCAAGTATAAAAGGGTTGTGTTTTTAATGACGTCAAAATGATGCCATCTCAAAGGTTTCCTGTCATACACCTTCATTGCCTGTTTGTGCAGGGCTATGACTGGCTTTAGAGTTGTCTATCCATCATAGCAAACCAACAAAGTCTGAGATGGCGATATATACAGTAACGGCCTTAAGTCATACGCCAACATGGACTTTCCCAAGGAGCTTACGTGTCTGATTTAGCTGCTTCCAGGCTGTTATTGATAGTGGAGTAGATTTAAGACAAGTGCATGCAGAGCCAAATCCCAAGAGCGAGCGACCGATGCCACACACAAAAATCCTATCTAATAAAAGTATGCATAGAAACATGCCCTGTCACAAGATTCACAACATGTCATATCAGGGGAGAAAATGTACAAGGGTGGAGTCGGATTCATTGGAAGTAAATCTGAGTAATCATGCATGAAGGCGCCTTAGTTGCTCCTCAATCTAGGACAGTTACCTGGCTTCCCACCAACATTTATCGAGATTTTCTTTCGATCTTTTTCTTTTATTTCTGTTATGTTGTCTTATAAAGTTTCAGGAATATGCCTTTTGACTGTTCAAATTACATTTCAGAGAGAAAACAAAAGAAACAAAAGTAGTTTATAGAATAAAAAAATAAAAAATGTAGGCCAATTTAACACATTTTCCATCTCTCCCCTTTTCTCTCCCTTCTTTTTCTTCTCCATGTCCCCTCACCTTGTGTCTTGTATTGCCCTAACCTAATTTCTGTGATCATTAATTGAAATAAAAATAAAGCTAATCTCCCAAAAGGATGGGGCGGTGGAAAAAAAGGTTTGTACAAATCTGAATAATCAAGAAAAATTTATCAAATCGATGGTTTTTGTAATCTATTAACTTCATTGATTTGTATCAGCCCAAAACACATGTCACATTATAGAATAGTATTGATTGAAAATGATTACGGTTCATACATCAGTCAACCTTGTACTTGAGTTGCTGCTTTTCCCCTTTCAAGCTTAAAATAAACAACTCAAAACAATACCATCATCCCATAAGCAGATACAGTGTGACACGAGGAAGAATCGATGGTGCCAGGGGCAGGATTGAGTGTAATCTTCCATAATCCAGAGTGGCTAAACAAGCTGCACACAGAGACACACGGCACCACAACACGCTCCTGACCCACGAGGCCGCCATCCCTCACTGTACATCACATTCACTAACGTCATTATTATTATTATGTCTATGAACAGGGGAATTCATATTACACGCACAGTTAGAAATAACGTGAGGATCCGGTCTTTCTCGTTATCGCGGATGATCTGGCGCAGAAGCCTGACGAATCTCTTTCTGTGTCGCAAAGCAAAACAATGATGACACACGGTGAATCAGCAGCTCAGTGCAGGCGGCAATCCTCTTAAGTAACGTGTGCAGCGCGGGATAGGTCAATGACACTGCCCACTCCTCCCAGGTCGAAGAAGCCTGAGGGGACAGGGTCACGCTCGAGTCTGCTGGAATGGCTTCACGTTTATATTGAAACCATAATGACACAGGAGATCCAAGATAATGGAGAATAACCCAAATTGCAGATTTCCGGGGCAGATGTACTATTCAAGGCAAGGAAAGGCAAAATATAAAGTACCATTCATGCAGAAGCAAAGAACATTGGGAAACAATAAAATGTTTTTAGGAATAAAAAAAAACAAAAATATATTATACACACATACACACACACACACAACTGTAATAATATTTATAATAATCCATCTATCCATCCATTTTCTTCCTCTTAATCCATTTCTGGCTCGGGGAGGTAGCAATCAGCTGCCACCCAATTCACAGAGCACCAGCCTTGTGAATATTAATAATACAATAAATTATGATTGTAGAAAGAGTCACGAGTCATAAGTTTATGTAAATGCTGAGGAAAGTAGCCATTTTTTACTTCCTGATTTAAACAATCCTATAGTTGGAATAGTTTGCATTTGATGTGGAAGAGAGTGCCTCAGGCGAGCAGCATAAAAACTAAATGCTGCCTCACTCTATTTGGTCCTGACATTTGGGACACACCGTAAACCTGACCCAGACCTAAAGACCTGAGGACCCTCTCACTTTATATGGAACAAGCATATCTTGCACATAATTTCAGTCCATTCAGTGCTTTCACGTAACCTTTTAATTGTCCCACAGAAGGAAGTAAAAAGTTGTGGACAAATCAGACCTCATGCTGTATTGAACGGAGAAGCTGAATAGCTGAGCTAGAGTAGTCTTCACTTTGTCATATCAGCTTTTTCAGATGGAAGAGGCCAAAAATACATTCATGTGAAATCTAAGAGACAGAACAAGATTCAGTTGAATAGTGATTTGCAGTAACACCACATTGGAATACATGTTACCCCACTGTGCAAAAGACAAATATCTAAAGCTAAAAAGTACGAGAAACAATTGTCACTGCTGAAACCAAGCAACAAAAGCAGCTTCAATAACAAATGCAACATTGTGCAAAGAATCTGTTAGCTAAACTATTGGGCTAAACTATTGGGCAAAACTATGGACAATATATCATGCCAGATCTTAGTCATTGTCATATATATATATATATAACATCATATCATAATATATTTTTCAGCCCTAGATTGAAAGAATAGAATTCGTATTATTTTTGTTGTGTTACCCCCAGCTTTAAAATAGTCAATGATATTTCTTATGTATTCCCTTACTAATCCATTTTAATATTAATTTTGGTTTTCAATTGTGAATATTTGTATGTGTAGATTGTTGTGTCAAATGCTCATTAACCGGTCTGCCTCAAATTCAAAGTAAACAAATGTGTTGCAACAAAGAGCTCAACATTTGTGCCGCTGATAAGAGATGAGACGACACACTTGTTACTCCTCCATTACAAGCCCAAATCTCAAAACAGCCTACAGTCATAAAAGATGAATTTATAGAAACAATTATAATAATAAAAAAATAATACTACATGTTGAATGAATTGATTAATGAATTCATAATCGTCTTAAATTTCCACAAAAGTTCTACGGATAAAAATTTAATTTATAAAACTGTATAAAACTTGTCTTCATTGCAAAATTGACTTGATGTTATAAATGTAGTCTTTGTCTGTTCCATGAACTATTGTTTCACAGTCTGATGGGACTCGAAACCCCAGACTCCTGGTTCCTGAGGACTAGTCCCCAGCCTGAAACCCTGGACTCCCTGGACCTGCCATTGGGAGTTGGCAGTTCTATGACGCCCCTCGAGACGACTATAGTTGTGATATCAGGCGACACAAATAAAAGTCATTCGATTTGTTTATAGTTTGGATCTCTCATAACACTTTTGAAGCCATTTTGGTTAAACCTAAGCTTGTAATTTCTAACAATGCACAAGGCAGTGATTTTCCCCTTGATGTTTTCTTTTTTTTTCTTTTAAGGTCATATCTACTGGTGATGAGAGTCCATGAGAGTCCGTGCATTTTGCAAAAAAAATTGTTACATGGCACATAAAAATGTCTTCTGCTGTACACGACCTCAAACCTCCTAATCTTTGGTCATTGTCTTCAGTCGGTGGAAGATGCCGGCCATGTCTGGAGAGCTAATATATACAATACGGGAAAATATCAAATTGGTATTTATCAACTTGGTACAACTCAATTATTGTGACTTCCCAGCATAGACGAAATGGCTTTAACTGCTTTGTGAGTGGATAAAGGTGCAGGAAAAGACCCCCGCTGGCGCACGCTCTCCCGCCTGAGTGCTCCAGGACCCTAATCACAAGGCTGGAGCTCAGCAATGCACGTTTGCATAACTTCCTGCCACAGAGAACTCTGGACGGCCGCAGTAACATTCCTCTACAGGACTGTACACGTCAGAGAGCTATTTTAGGTATGCGGCCAAACAAGTTCTCAACAAAAAGTGAAGGGAGGGAGAAAAATCCCATCCCAGCTTCAAGTACAAAGTCTCATAGAGTAAGTTGTGCGTAAGAAGACAGTGCAGAAAGGAGGGTGAGAACGGAGCAGCACAGGGGCCAAGAGTTTCTACGCGAGAACAAATGAAGGAAAAAACAGAAACATAGGAAGTCGGACATGTTTGAGTGCTCCACGGGCCACTAAAGAAAATAAACCTGCTACAATAACAAGTCAAATA